AATTTCTCGATGAATAAAATAATTCCTAAAATAAAGACAACCCTTGTGTATTTACCTAGCACTCCATGGGTGTATGCATATTGATATACAACCTTTAATGAAAAAAAATTCAAGTATTTCAAGTACCAAGCTATCGCTTTAAAAATAGCATGTGTTACATTGATAAACAATAATTATTATAGTATATTATTTCAAACTCAATCATAACGGTGTTTGTAATTGATATATTCAGAGAATTCTGGCCGCAAACTACATGTACAATGTAGAATTCTTAATCATTCCGTTCCTGAAAATTCTGGAAATAAGCTTGCCTGTATATACACAATAGTAGATGTGCAATCTGATAGTCAACTATCCCCTCCTATTGGTTTATATGTAAAGGATATAAATAATTATGCTAAAAATAACAACATAAATCTAACATCTAAAAATATCTGTCGAAGAACATTTTTTTCAGAGTCAGGTTTCCAAAATTTGATTTAATATCAATGCTAGTGAGCACATAATGCAAAAATGGAAAGAAAAAAGGGACACCAATCTTTACAGAATAGAACCATTTTTCCAAATCATTGGGATTAATAAAGTACATATTATTAAATTTATATATCAGTGCTTAATATGATTCGATTGATCTGTTTCATTTATGATATTTTACTAGATAAAGACGTTAATGGTAACTTTACAACAAAACTTTATGATTAACGCGATGTTTCCATCGCCAACCTCCCTTACTTATGTTGCGATATACCCTCATTACATGTACCTGCATACGAAGTTTATATCTCCGAGTTGTTTCGAAACGCAAGAGCATGCTCCAATTACGAACAATTTCTGAAACGAGACGAGCTATTGACAAACAAGTTGATTAAACAATGATATCAATAGTCTCGTTTAAAGCCATCATTTTGCAAGTTCTATGGTCGATACAATGACCTTGTCAGCTTATGCAATCTTACGTTATGTCGAAATGCTGGCTGACGTTTTTCATTGTATTTGTAAGACCATTATTTAACACTGAATTGTCTACGGATTTTACCGTTTGTCCGATCATGACAATGAGCACAGGGTGGGTGTGACCGGTCGACAGTGGATGCTTATTCCTCCATGGCACATAATCCCACCTCTGATGTTTTTAGAGGTCCGTAGGTCCGTGTTTGCTTGATCTGCTTCATTTGTATTGTTTCAGTGGACTTTTGAAATTGATAACTGTCGTTATCGTCATATTTTATTTTCTTGTTTAAAGTAAACTAGGGTTTATTTTTTTTATTTTTTGTGACTAAGAAAGTATTTTAGTAAATATTTCTTTAAAGTTATAGTCAGGGAGAGAAAGATCTTTTATAAGCTTGTTTTAAATAATGAAAAAACTGAATCATGTCTTGGGGGAGTGCTTGTGTATAATAATGTCATCCTACACGTATTTGTAATGTTATTGAAAGACTGATGCTAGAAAAAACATGTTGACTGTAATGGCTGATAGCAAATTTCTTTGAAAAATGAAACTAAAACTCCCAACAATAGATGCATTATTATTTAAGTAATGGAAGATAATTGTATTTCAAGTTAGCACATAATATCTCAGTTCCAGAATTGAAATAAATACATGTAAGTTGTGTGTGATTGATTTTATTTGAGGTTTGATTTGGGTTTTTGAGCATTCATGTGTAATACCAGACACGTTCACCCCGTTATTTAAGACCCTTTGTTTGACATATTTCTAAAGAATCAGAACTTAGAGTAACATAAGATATAACTGGTAAGTCTTCAACTTTTATGCTCATATTGTTTGTCACAGGTAATGGTTATTTGATATTTGTCGATATTAGTATGCGGACATGGAAACTAGAATTCGTTAAAAATCTTTATCGCCCTGTTTTTTAATAGCTGTCATGATTTGTAGTATTTGAATAGATAGTTGTACCTAAGCACTTCACAAATGGAGAGGCAATGAAATACATGGATACCGGGGTATCTGACACATTTATAGGAGTATTTCCTTTTTTGTCGAATGCAGACTCAAAATTATCACTATAAGAATCCACCTGAACCTTCCAACTTTTATGTACCCAAACAATTAAACGACAATAAAACTTTTGATATGTTACACATTGCTATGTCTGTGACTTTGTTGCATAATTGTTGTTGGCTATGCAATAGTTAGTCTTAAGAAAAACAGAAATTGCTGCGATTGTATGCTTAATGAATGAAAGAGGCAAAGTTAATAAAACATCAGTGATTGATCTCCTTAATCAATTTAGTATTTATACAATTTAAAAGAAATTGGAACGATAAAACCAAATTATGAATAAAATGATAACTTCATATTATAGAGGAAACAGAACAATTTAAGTGCAATAATTTTTACGCTAAGTTGTATAGTGCATCCAAATTGCTCGAGGTTCTATAAAATCACTCTGGTTCAAAGTAGACTGTGTCAATTTACATAAAATCAGAATCCCACTGTGGGACGTGGAGACCGGTCCTTCGGATGAGACCGTATAAACCGAGGTCCCGTGTCGAAGTAGGTGCTGGCACGAAAAAGTTCCCTCACTGCTCAATGGCCGTAAGTGCCGAGTATAGGACAAAATTTGCAGCTCTCCACCGGCAAGTGGTGGCGTCTCCATATGAGTGAAAAATTCTCGAGAGGGACGTTAAACGACATACAAACAAACAAAAAAACATAAAATCATATTTAATAAAATTTAAAAAAATTGAAAACGTATAGATTTTTACCTTTTCTGTCAAACATAAAGAGAAATACATGTTTATATCAACATTGAAGAGTTCTCATGGAAGATTTGAAATAGACAATTTTTATTCAATAACATTATATTACTGTTCCTATATGTATAATTTTGAGTATGCATTTAACTTAGTACGTATACAGTTAAAGTATATCATTGCAGTAGTTAGCAAGATTCTTCTTCCTCAAGGCCAGGACTATTTTCCGAGGCGAAGCCAACGGAAATAGCTCTGGTCGAGGGAAACTGGAATATTTGCTTACTTCCTCATTGATATACTTTTAACTGTTTTATTATATCGATACAAAAGTAAGATTTAGAGGATTAAAAATAACGGCGGAATTTATATGCTATATCAATACAAAAGTGGGAAATTAGTTAAATTGTCAAAAAATATTTTAAAAAGTTGGATAACTGGGAATTAGGTTCCGAAGCAAGGATTAGCTCAATTGACTAACGAACAGTTCATCACATCGATTTCTAGGGAATTATTCACATTTATTATACCTCTACTGATTAGTCCCTAGAATATAAAATTAGATCGTTAGTATACAGTTAAAGTATATCGTTGAGGGAGCAAGATTAAAGTACCCCAAGGCCAGGACTATTTCCCGAGGTGAAGCCGAGGGAAATAGTCTTGGTCGAGGGGAACTGGAATCTTGCTAACTCCCGCAATGATATACCTTTAACTGTTTTATTATACCGATACAAACGTAAAATTTGGAGAATTCAGACAGCGTAATTTCAAAGCAGAGATTAGCTCACTGAAGTAACGCACGGAGATTTCTTCTCCTCTGTATCAAATGAGATGATAAGGTTACCGCGTGGTTCATAGATAAGTTAGTGTGGTTCAGAAGCAGACGTAATTTTCAATTCGCAATAATTTTTGGATATATTATGTGTTTATAAGTGATTAAGTGAGATTCGTGCATATAACTGATACTTCTAAAACATTGCCCGTATAGACGCTGTTTTTGCGTATAGACGCAGTATTTTAAAACTGTCTAAACAGTGTTTGCAGTATGAGTACTGACAATGCAGATAACGTTTCTCCTGGAAATGATGAAAGGGAGAGGGGCGACAGTAGTGACAATACGAGCATAGTCGCCATGATGAAAGAAATGCAGAAGAATATTGCATCTCTGACATCGACAGTTTGCGAACTCCAACAAAAACGGGGTAAAAAACGAAAGGCTGAGGATGACAAACCAGGACCATCAGGTCTAGATCTCAGTGATGTGTCAGAAGACGAAGATGGCGGGAAAGATGATTTAGATGAGTTACTGGAAGAAGTAAATAAAGATGTAGACAGTGATTGTAACGACATGCTAGACGGACTGGTGGAATGTTTCGGTGGCGAAGATAAATGTAGTGAGGCGATAAATGAAAAACTAGCAAAAGGAGCCAATGATGGTCTTCGCTCAATTCTGGACGCAGACAAAATCAAAGAGTTGAGTGAAAAATAAAACCGACCAAAAAACGTCCCAAATATCGTTACACCAAAATTAAACGAAGAAATCCGGGCGCAGTTAAGCCGGAAAATGCGTAGTCAAGACATTCGACTACAGAGAACTCAAACCCTGCTCGGGAAGGCAATTGTACCTGTGTAACAACAGATTAACTTGCTAGTTAAATCCAAGCATAAGGGCGAGATGCCATCAAGGAAGGAACTCTCAAACCTGGCTATGGACGGGCTTAAACTCATGGCTGTCGCGTATTGCGACTTGTCAAATAGAAGACGGGAATTGATCATCCAACCGGAGAGAAACGAAGAATTTCGCACATTATGCTCAATAGAACATCCAGTTACAGACAAACTGTTCGGCGACGATCTGGGAAAGAGAGTAGAAGATATAGTCAAAGCAAATAAAGTGGGAGCTAAGATCTCCGCACACCAAAAGTTTGATAAACGCGGATATCAGAACCGCAAGTTTCAGCAAGGACAGAGGTCTTCCTCAAGTTACAACCAACACTACAGAACCCAGAATTTTTTAGGCCAACGCTTGGGTCCCCACTACAGAAAGAAAACGACGACGACGAACAAGCAAAAGAAATAAGTCAGAGAAATCTTCAAAACGTGAGTTCGTTACACAATACATGTCAAAATTTTACGGCTGGGAAAATTGCACTTTATTTTCAAAATTGGAAATTAATTACTAGCGATTCCAGGATTTTGGATTATGTCAAGGGATATTCAATTGAATTTGAAAACTTACCATCCCAAAATTTTATACTAAAACAATTCAGTTTAATGAGTCAGGAATGGCTATAATTGACAGAGAGATAAATGATTTATTAGAGAAGAATATCATTGAACCAGTAACAAATTACGAAGAAGGGGAATTTATATCTAACATTTTCATGAGACCTAAGAAAAACGGGAAATTTAGAGTCATTCTTAATTTGAAACAATTAAATGATTGTGTTGAATATCACCATTTTAAGATGGAAACACTGTCTGCAGCTGTTGGTCTGGTGTCAAAAAACTGTTTTTTCGCTTCCATTGACTTACAAGATGCGTATTATTCTTGTCCTGTGTGCACAGAGGACAGAAAATATTTACGATTTTTATGGAACGATAGAAAATACCAGTATACTTGCTTAGCAATGGAGTTAGCATCGGCTCCCCGTATATTCACAAAACTGTTAAAACCGGTGTTTTCCACATTGAGGAAACGCGGGCATGCTAATATAGCTTATATTGACGATTCTTTGTTAGTGAGCAAAACAGAATCTGAATGCCGTAAAAATGTCAGGGAGACAGCTGAGCTTTTAGACAGCCTTGGATTAACTATAAACGTAGAGAGGTCGGTATTCACTCCAAGTAGAGCTATTCAATTTTTGGGATTTATAAAAAATTCTGAATTGATGACAGTATCATTAACGCCAGATCGGGCTACATCGATAAGACAAAAGTGTGAGGAAATTCTGAAATTGCATCGAATTACGATAAGAGAATTTGCACAGTTAATTGGCAAATTAGTGTCAAGTGATCCAGGTGTCCGCTATGCGCCTTTGTTTTGTAAATCTCTTGAGATTGTTAAAGACAAAGAATTAAAAACAAATGCTGGTAATTTTGATGCAAAATTTGTGATTTCCGGTGAAATTAGGAAAACAATCACTTGGTGGATAAATAATGTTGAAAGATTTCCTCGATTTATAAATATTGATAAACCAGTGTTAGCAGGCTTGGGCATATTTAATGAAAACAACGGAGATTGTTATCAAGGAGAATGGTTAGATGAAGATAAAGAAAAGCATATCAATTTCTTGGAATTGAAAGTAGGATTAATTGCGTTATCAAAATTTTGTAATGATTTACAAGAGGGACATGTAAAACTTTACATGGATAACACGGTGGCCGTAACGTAAATAAACGTAATGAAAATATAGAGGCTGACTATTTATCGCGCCACAAAAATGATGACCTAGAATGGATGTTAGATAGGAAAATATTCTCACAAATAGAAAACTCGTTCGGGAAATGTGATATTGACTTGTTCGCTTCCAAGCATAATTTTCAATTCATGCCATACGTTTCTTACAGCCCAGACCAACATGCAAAAGCTATAGACGCTTTCAGCATGGACTGGAGTGACTTAATGTGTTACATATTTTGTCCTTTCAGTTTGATGGGATCAGTGCTGCAGAAAATTACTACCGACAGAGCATAGGCGATAGTAATTGCTCCAATATGGCCGACACAGCATTGGTTTCCACGGCTGCTTCAATTGGTCTGCAAGGACAGTTATCTGTTGCCGGACACTCAAAATCTTCTGACGATGCCGAACAAACCCGAGAAGTACCACCCACTGAGAAAAATGAGACTGGGCGCATTCCGTGTATCGGGGAATCCTTCAAAAATCGAGGCTTATCAGATGACACTCAAAAAATTCTATTATCTTCCTGGCGAGAGTCCACTAAAAAACAATATAGGGCATATATCGAAAAATGGTTGTCATTTTGTAATAGCAGACAAATTAATGTATTTGAGGCAAATGTGAACAATGTTTTGTCATTTTTAACAGAATTATTTCAGTCAGGGTTAGGATACAGTTGTCTAAATACGGCTAGGAGCGCATTATCATCTTTTCTACAGTTAGAAAATTGTGTAAATATAGGTTCTCATCCTTTAATACGTAGGTTTATGGGAGGGGTGTTTGTACTTAGACCTGCTCTTCCAAGATACAATGTCACCTGGGATGTAAATATTGTGTTAAAATATTTGAAATCCTTGTCTCCTTTTTCATCATTATCACTGTTACAATTATCTCAGAAACTGGTTATGTTACTTGCCTTACTTTCAGGGCAAAGGGGACAAACACTTCATTTGATTGATATTAGAAATGTTCATTTTCAAGAGAGTGGTGTAAAAATTGTTATAGGTGATCTTTTGAAAACTTCAAATACAAAAAGACACTTGGGTGAAATTGAGCTAACTAGCTACGAAGTCGATAAAGATTTGTGTGTGGTGAACACTTTGACTAATTATTTACAAAACACAGAGACTCTGCGAGGTGCCGTTACACGCTTGTTTATTACGTCACAACGACTGCACAAGTCAGTGTCCAGAGACACAATTGGCAGGTGGCTGAAGTCTGTTCTAAAGATGGCAGGAATTGATATTTCTATATTCAAACCTCACAGCACCAGGGTGGCTTCTGCGAGCGCTGCACACGCACTAAGAATCCCTGTTGATACAATTATGCGAACAGTGGGTTGGTCAAGAGAGTCAACATTTAGAAAGTTTTATAACAAAGAAGTTACTTTAACGAGGTTCGCTCCTGAGCTTTTTAGCACATTTATATCTTATCCTATATTTCAAAAAATCGGCATAAAGTATTAATTCTTTTAATAAATTTGGATTCTACAATGCCAATTAAACTATATTCAGTTAAAACTCCATGATTAAATTCCATACCAAAAGCATTAAGTGAGGAACTATATTTTGTGGCGGAAGGCTTTTTTTTTTTAGAAGAAGAAAATGATCATTTTTCTCTTTCAAAGTATTCAAAGTATGTTAATTTTGGATTCCTATTTTTCCATCCAGCCTGCACAGAGTTATTTTGTACAGTGAACTGTTTTATACTGGTCCTAAATTATATATCAAATAAACTGTCATGAATTCTATCATCATATTTCATAAATATAGCAAATATATTGTGAAAATCAAGAAAAAATATCCCTATTTTAAGCTTAAAATTAGCACTATTTTAGTAATATCTAAAAATTAACATCAGAGACCCCCACTTTTTATTTTCTTTTCTGAATTTATAAGATACTTTTAACCATTCTTCTTAAATTCAGTAAAATATCATTACTTTCAAATTATTTTTTTGCTTGTTAAATTTTTAATGCCAAAAAATGATTTTTTTTGAGTGCAAAAAGGTCAAATAATTGAACGTGTGGAGTAATATGAAAATTTTTTCGTTGTTACAAATTTTAATGTGTCTATTCAAGATGAAGCAAGGCTGTGTTTGTTCCCATAATTTACTTGAATAAAAAATATTGGAGGGAAAACTTTAAAAATTGATTTATGTGTAAGACGTATTTACAGTGCAAAAAGGTCAAACTAAATGCTCTGTAGCGCCAAAAGAAGCGCATTGATCCCCATTTTTTGTTTTGATTTTTAATGAAGCTACGTGTGTAAATTCTAAAAATATACTTGATAAAAAATTCTCATTACTTTTGATGGCAGGATCCAACCTCCTTAAATGCTGACATTTGTGAAACGTTGTTAAAAAATTACAAGTGACTGTATATCATAAGTACGTAATTGTATATACATGTATAATTAAAATTTTCAGGATTTCTAGATAAAATTGTAGAATGATCATTTCTGTTTTCATTATTAGAATTAATTCCAAAAATCTGGATTTTATCTCTAAAGTCTCATTTGATACAGAGGCCCCAGTTGGGGAGAAGAAATTTAAAAGTTAAACGAGACTTACCTGGAAGGTGAAGTTTGACTGTAATTTCTTCGACCCAATTGGGTGCCGAGGGATCAAATGCCCAACCCGAAGGCAGATCCCACCCGTTATGATCCTACTTTGTTAATCTTAATCCAATTTTTTGTGCTCTGAAGTATGAACGACGCGGTAACCTTATCATCTCCTTTGATCCCTCGGCACCCAATTGGGTCGAAGAAATTACAGTCAAACTTCACCTTCCAGGTAAGTCTCGTTTAACTTTTAAATTAATCCATTCATGTTTCATACCAATGTAAAAGTAAAATCTAGAGTAATACGGATAACCGGGAATTAGCTTTTGAAGCAGGGATTAGCTCATTTGACTAACGCACGGGGATTAGTCCATTCATAACGATTTCTGGAGAATTAATCACATCTAACGATCTCTTGTTATAAAGGGAAAAAATCAGTAAAGGTATAATAAATGTTAATAATTCCCTATGAAAGCTAATTCCCGTAGTAATCCTCTAAATGCACTGTTGTAATGGTATAATACTCAAGTAAAACAGTTAAAAATTATATCATTGAGGAAATTAGCAAAATTCCAGTTCCCCTCGAGTAGGAGTATTTCCCTCGGCTTCGCCCGGGTAATAGTCCTGGCTTGGGGAAACTGGAATTTTGCTCACTCCCTCAATGGTATACTTTAACTGTAAACTAACGATCTGATTTTTAGAGGGAAAATCAGTAGAGGTATAATAATAATTTTTTTTCATAATGACATGTGTCAAATTTATGAACATACATGTACAAGATAAACATTCGGTGCACTGGACCTATATATCATTGTATATAACTAATCAGTTATATAATCAGTCCTTATATAAGTGTTATTTGGATCCAAAGTTTCTTTTCACTCATATACTAGTAAGTAGATGGATAACAAGATCGAGATAGTTAAATTGAATCATTGGTTGCTAGGGATAGAATTCTATCAAAATAACATTTTTTTTATCATTTAAGGATGAACAGAACCGCAAAATGGTTTTACACCGTGACTTTACTCTGCAGTGTTTATATGGTATACATGGTTTTACATATCAACATGATGGGAAAACATCTTGCACCGGCATTTGAGAACCTGATTTTGCTTAATCACAGGAGCTTTTTCGATGATTTCAAAAGTTATACATGCCCAAGTAATATATCCACAAATGACACTGAGGATATTCTTTGCATGGTAAATATATTCATACATGTATTAACAGTTGATATCAGTAAGCTATTTGCCGATTAATTATGCTTTCACACTCTCTTTTTGAATATATCGTTTACATGTAACACTCTGATGATCATTAGCTTGAATTAAGGTATACTTAAAATAGTATTGATATTTTAATTTCAAAAGTTGGTAAATGAAATTGTCCGATTGCAAGTTCTAAATATAGAATTTAGCACATTTTTTACTTCATTACCATACTTACATCGATTTTGTGAAATTTTGCTATCGGTATTCACAGGTTTTTCTGTGCATACTAATTTTTTTTTTTTTTTTACTTTTATGTATACTCCTTGATATCATACAGTAAAGTCATCTTTATGTACCCCGGGGCGCGGTATCAGATTTTGTTTAATAGATTTTGCATAAATCAATTCATTTTAAATAATTTCGAAAGTTTATACTATATATAATAGATTTGGCTTTTCGCCTATGGATCTATTTTCTGTATCAAAATTAACTAACTCAGTTATAGAGGTCACCAAATCTGTGAGAAGCTTATGCTGGACAATTGGTGGGTCCATCATTTTCTGCAGATCATTACTGCATGTGCTTTTTAAGTTAATAATGAAATGCATTTTTAAACTGCAGGAGAGAGAGGAATTCTTAAGGAATTTTAAAAATCCATGTTGGTTTAAATTTATAAACACAACAGTGGGACTGAAAAAAGTACTACGCTGTTTCCCTTTCTTCCATATATTTGGCGTCTGTAAATCTGGAACAACAGATCTTTTCTTCCGTTTGACGCAGCATCTACAAATATTGAACAACAGTGGTATTTTAAATAAGGAAACTCAATTCTGGTCTTGGAAACGTTACGGACAAGGTAACTATAGTTTGTGTAATTGATTACGTGAAGCCTCGCCCTGGCTTTGGATGCCTCATTCCTTGAGGTGTCTCCTCAATACAAGCTGACAAACATTATTGCCTAATAAATATTCATAAGTAAAGTTAAGGACCCTCTATACACTGAAGTAAAATCTTATTTGGACATTGAGAAAATTATGTTGTATAAAGATTTAAATACTTAGCTTATCTATCCCAATTTCAACATAGGGTACCTGACATTTACCCTAAGGAAAAATGCTGAAAGACGATAAAATATCTATGAACAGAAATCACTGTTGTTTACTTGTGTGCGGAATATACATGCCAAAAAATTATTCAGTTGTCATATATTGGCCCATTAAAGTATTACATGTAAGAATACAAATTAAGTAATACACTGCAAAATTTCGTTTATTTGATTTTATATCTAGGAGCAGATTACTTTAACTGCATAAAGATACCACAAAGTCAGAAATTTTTAGTGTTCGGTGAAGAGAGGGTTCTTATAATTAACTTCCATCATCAGGCCTCAACAATAGACCCAGTTGACATAAGCAATTAAATATTTGTAGAGGACCAGAACCCCTATTATCATGCAGACAGTCCATTTTGTTCATTCAAATCTATAAACAAATGAGCACTTTTGAAAGGGAGTATTAGATTTCAAGATTTACCATTTACAAATCTTTTATCACTTTTGATTCATAATTGGGAAAATGAAAACAAAGCACAAATTCGTGACGTTGAAGAAAAAACTATAAGTGTAATAACCAATTATAAAAACAGAAACTCGTGCAGGTTTCATACTGCCTCGGTGGAGGCCCTCATTGATGCATATCGCAGATGAGCGCAAACGAGGACCAGTTTGCATTTAAGGAGCTATTCCAAACCATCATTTTACATGATGGTGTTTAAAGTACATGTTTTTCATTTGAAATTCGATTTCATCTTACAAAGATCAAACAAGAAAGACTATATTTGACGCAAATGAGACACCTTGGAGCTTAAAATTGGCTGACAATTAATGCATAATGTAAATATCTTATGATAAATGTCAAGAAAAGTCAGGTAGATATTTTTTTTATTAGATTAAAACAAAAATGAATATGAAAATAATTGTACTTTTTGATATATTTTAAATACATGTCTATGGCAAAAATCTACAGAATTCATTTGAAAAAATATTAGACAATTGATTTTTAAAAAGAAATTGAAATGAAAATGCAAAATTTAAGGTACAAATGCTAATTTTCAAATTTGAATCTATCCCGCAGAAATGAAAATGTACCCGACTTAAAATATATAAAGTAGAAATTATGAAGCAATTTGACATATATACTGGATTGCTTCACTGTTACATGCCTTACACATAAATAAAACTCAGCAAATTAAATTCAATTTGGAACTGCATCGTAAGGAACGAAATTTCTTGATGTCGACTTTTGTGATACTTGCAGTGTCATTTCATTTTCTGATTTAAATATGATTGCCTGGTATTTCTTTTCTTTAACAATTTAAAAAAAACGAATCGAAAAATGTATATATAGAGATTAAAATGTCACCTTAAAGGTGTGCGTTAGATTAGCAAAAATGTCATTTTCAAACTATTACTGCTAGGCAAAAGGAATATAAAGGAATAAATTCATGAATTTTCTAATTCTAATTTTTGAATGTATTTGTTTTGAATCTATTCTGTTGTCAGTTTCTGTTTTACTCAAGTTTTCTTATTTAATCTTTTAAAAAATATTTAGATTCTCCCGTCCACAGAAATCTCACTCTGGACGAGTTTTCAAGCTTTTTTATGGCCAACAAAATTGGAAAGACAAAAATTGGTTTACGGGACATGATGCACTACTCAGATATAATTACAGGTATATTTAACTGCTTTAAAAATATTACTTGATTTGAATTTACTTCATTTAAGTGATAATCTAATTCCCCAGTACCGGTAACTTACTCAAATCGAGTATGCTTTTGAGTACTGGAAAAGAAATTTTCTCTTCTCTAAGAAATTATTAATTCAATACAAATCCAAATTAAATATAAATATTTACATCAGTTATAAGTGTGTTGCAAAAAAAAAAAAAAAAAAAGAATTTAAAATAACATAAAAAAAATTACACGTAAGTTGATGGAACAAGAATATCAGCTGTCTCGTTTAAAGTCATCATTTCGTAAGTTCTATGGTCGATACAATGACCTTGTCAGCAAATACAATTTATCTTTGAGTCAAATGCTGACTGACGTTTTTCAAACTAATTGTTAGGCCATTAATTATTTATACACAGAATTGTCGACGGATTTTTTCGTTATATCATGACAAGGAGCACACGGTGGGTGTGACCGGTCGGCAGGGGATGCCCACTCCTCCATGGCACCTGATCCCACCTCTGATGTTTGGAGGTCCGTGTTTGCTCTGCTCCTATTTTGTATTGTTTAATGGACTTTTGAGCTTGAATACTGTTCGCTATCTCCATATATTTCATGCTATCAATACAAATAATTGTAAATCATTGTAGAGTAAGAAATGCTTATCTTCTATCTAAAATATTTTTGTATCCTTGAAACAACATAGCAATCTAAATTATTTCGTATTCTTAATTTATGATAAATTTCTATATAGGTCATGCTGATCCTATGGATTTTTGGGATCATAATCACTGGAGGGAAATCCCCCAGAATGATCCAAATTCGAGCGAGCCAAAATTCCTGACACCACACTTAGTGAGGCACGTGCAGCCGAATATTAAATTGAAACTACTGCTTCGGGAGCCAGCAGAAAGGTAAAAACCAGAGTGAAATGCTGCGTAATATATCGGAAACTTAAAATTACATTTTAATTAGGTGTTTAAATTACTTTTTCAAAATATGCTCTCATAGATTCTTTCAATTGCATCAGAAAAAAATATAAACTATGGAAGCTTTATAAAACATAATTTGAGTAATCCATGTAGAATTTTTTTGTCAATAATATGTTTACCTTATAATCTGTTGCTTTAATTGAATACTTCATCCTGTTGATAGCTTAATTTTTCAAGAAAATTATCTAGATTTATTCCTGAAGAAATTATCACCTGATAATAATAATGTAACTAAGGGGGAAAAGCTTCTCCGAGCCTTTTACTCGACCTCATATAAATGACAGATTGGAGTAGAACACATAGTATGTTTATCAACTTTTACACTAGTAACTTCTGTGCATAATTTCTTTTTCACTTACACTCAAAATTATTTATGTCTTCTAATGCTAGGCAGGCTCACCGCAGCTAGTTTTTGCTAAATTTGCACAAATCAAATAAAACACATTTATAGAGATGACTTATGTCTTTTATTTAAATGACAGTAAAAATGTAAAAAATTTAACACACAAGAAGGGGATCAGACTCACAAGCTCTGATTGTAATAGGTAAAATATGATAATGTCTGATCCCCCGAAAAACGAGAAGAAAAAAGTACATATAAAACAAGACAAACAAAAAATTATTATAGTAATTTCTTACTACTGATGCTTTTTCATTATCTTAACTTTCGTGATTTTTGTAATGTTTCAAGGCTTTCATTTAAGCCGTTTTTACATTTGTTCAACACAGATCAATCAAGAGGCACTTGGCCACAGCACAATTTTAACATGAAAAAAAAAAAACTAGTTTAAACATGGACTGTTAGTTAAAAATTCAATGCAATTTCATCTAAGAAGTATCTGTTTATTATGTTTAATCATGAGATAAAGAGTATAATAATAAAATATGTAGAATAGTTTTATGCATTATTTAAATGAAATGCCTGTTCTTATAAATTAGTTTACGGAAGTATAAATTCAGACGCTAAATAACCAGAGCAGATGAACATCGCAGTAAATAACCTTTAAAGGAACGAATGATATTCACTAAACTGTTCTTAAATAAATATACGTAAAAAGAGTTAATTGAAAATAAGCATGTAGGTCATATTCTGTTCAGACAATCCATTCAACCCATATCATTATCTATTTGAAAGATATATTTTTTTTTAAATATGTGACTGTTTCCATGAAATTCTGTCTTAATATAAGTACTTTGGCGACAATAAGCACCTTATCTGTAGACTTTGATGAGCGACTGTTTTAGGTATATTTATGTACGAGGAATCACGTTTAAATTTAAGTAAAAGAAACAATGGCACTCTATACCACACAACGAAGAAACTATTTGACTCTATAAATGACAGAAAAAAATAATTCAGTGTATATTCATCTTAAATCGTGCAAAATCGTGCACAAATTGTGATTTGTAATGGTCGTAAAATTGTTTGTTCTTCATTTTTTTATTTCTATTTATGGATTCTGTTCCGTTAATAAAAGTTATTGAAAATGAATTTGTTGTTTAATTTCTTAACATCTGTATATACTCTTTAGACTTTACAGTCATTATCTGCATGGATATTATGGTTACACACCCTTGGACTTTCACAATTCAGTCATTAAAGGCATTGAACTCTTCAACACATGCTTGTCCAATTGCAGTCTCAAGACTTGTTTATATATATCTGATTTATCTAAAGATATGCAAGTGAGTGAAGTGAAGTTTGAAACATAAGATCAAATTTGCTAAGTTATTATTTTTCATGTTCATTCCAAATCTTTTTGATAAAAATTATTATTATTATTATTTTTAGAGTATATTTAATTTTTTACTTGCATTTTCTTTATTTCTAATGCTAAGAATTTCATTATTTATTTTAAACCTCTCTTTATAAGAGAATCAAATTATATATTATAACCTTTCACAATTGGAATATTTAAGTTGTAATTGTTTATCTTTTATAACTACACACACTTTGTTTTCATTGTTTATTTGCCTTAATTAATCAATTTTATTTTACGAAAAAAATTAATTATAAACATACAAGATGTACATTACTGACTCCTCCTAATGCGTATAATAATTTACTGCTAACTAAATTGAACAAGATTTATTTTCAAAAAATGAAATTGCTAAAAATTGATCTTGAAAGTATATGATTAAATTGTTTTGTTCTATTGCATTTTTTACATTAAATATTTGAGAGAGAGAGAGAGAGAAAGAGATAGAGATTTCAAATCGCTACTTTTCTGTAAATTTTTTTCAGCTTCCACTGACTGCCAGCTTATACTTCATTCACCTACAAGAGTGGTTAGATGTGTTTCCAAGAGAACAACTTTTAGTCTTAAGAACGGAAGACTACCATGAGAACATGAAATACAGTCTTCTACAATTATTTTCCTTTCTTGGTGTTGGTAAGTAGAGTATATTCAAATATAAATGTAGAATTTGTATTTAGTTCAAACTACCCATCTTTAGAAACTTTGAAAAATGTTATCTGTCGTGACTGCATATTTATTTGCATGAAAAATATAAACGAACAATTTAAAACGAGTGGTGATTCTGCCGTCCGTAAACTTATTAGAATAATTTGAAGATCTAAGAAGTATTGATCATACAGTAATGTTCATGTTTAGAGCTTATTTTCAGTGTTATTTTACAAATTGTTAATTTTATGTAAAATCAAAATTCTTAATGACAACTCAACTGATATGCGTCTTCATATGTTTACAATGATATTCATTTGGAACCTCGTATAATTTCCTTTGTAGATGATATTTATTCAAGGAACCCAACAGAAAATTGGCAGCTATAATGAATGATGAATGGTACCTATGGAAGGATGCTTCATTCAAGTTCAGAGCTAAACAGATACCAAAAAACCAAACAGAAATATTAACAACACCTTCAATACTAGATCTCACTTTTGTTAACGAAAGCAAATCAAAACATTCAACAAGCAACGAAACAAATACCAAGAAAACAAACAAAGATGTCAAATAAAATACTAATTCAAACTTTTGTAAATAAAAGTATATCAAATGAAAAGCAAGCACCTAAACTGAAAATTAAAACATTTGAAAAAAAAAATTCCAAAAAAGCGTTAAAGCAAACTTTAGTTCATACAAGTAAACCGGGGGGTAAAACAAAGAGCTCACAGAGAGTTTCTGTTACAGTGACACCAAAACATATACAGAAATCAAAAGTTACAGATAATCAATCCTTAGTCAAACAAACAAAAAAACAGACAACAATCGCAGAGTGCCTAAACAGGTAACAAGAATTTTGTCAGAAGATATACCTTATCAAACATTAGTTAATAAAACAAAAATACATAGCATTCTGAAAGTACCTACACAAATTTTAAGAAATAAAAAGGTGCCGGAGGGCTCAATTCATCAAACCTACTTTAGCAAAAGAATGAGCACGTCAAGACCCATCACCTCGATATCCAATATATCAACCCGAAATGTCTCGAAAGGATTATATTGTGATTAAGAAAATTAATACACAGTGAATGTTTGATAAAGTTATAATTGTTCTTTACCAAATCGAGTTTTACCTCTTGCCAAAATTCTTTTTAATAATGCATGTAATGTGTTCCAGAATCTTCACTCTCATCTTATCTTCCTCTTAAACAAAATTGAGTTTTTTTTTCTTTCCCGGTGCATATTTTTGTCGTACATTTTATTAAAACCTAGTAATAGTATCAACGTTGATCCTATACAAATGAATCAGGAAATAACAAGAACGAGGTATCAATCAAATTCAGTAATTAAATATATCAAGTCAAAAATCTGAGGGATTTTTTTTTTAATTATGTTTGGAAAGAAAACAAAGCGATCATATCTGAAAAGAAGAAAAACATTCGTTTCTTAAAGAGGAATGTTACTTTACAAGAACTTTATTTGTGAATGTTTTGGGGATAACTCCATAAACTGAATATTTCAAGGAAACATTTTTAGTACTAGTTCTTAAAATGACAAAAGTTGTCCTAGAAAAAAAATCTTTATATTTTGAATACGATGAAATGGGGAAAATCTTATTCACTGTGCATCAATCTGTAAATAGTTTATTTTATTGAATGGTTTTTATTTTACATTTTTTTATGAATTATTTCTCTTTGTTAGTTAACTTTGTTTGCTTTATGTTGCTTTTTTAAAAATAAAGTAGGATGAAAATATTAATTATTCTGTGGATCTATCTACTGAATATATACTCACTTTCATTATAATCTCTGAAGCAATTTTATCCTATTTTATCTTCAGCTTTCTTTGCCTCCAAACTAGTTTAATCTAAAATTAATTTTTTTCTTGTATAAAAAAAACTTAGCTCGTCGACCTTAACTTTTTTAGTATTGCACCATTAGTAAACTATATTTTGTATTCTCATTGAAATGGCTCAACGAAATAAAGTAATATTCATATTCGTATTGGATGAGTATATAAGATAAAATGTTTGTGTGTGAACAGTGAAATAATTCTTTTGGATTTTTTCTTATACCATTAATCAAAATGTGAAAATATAAGAAATAATTTACATTTTTTTATCTAAAAAAATGCAACAAGGACAACTACTCATTCCTAATTTGGTAAACCAACATTAACATCATATAGAAATAAATATTGAGAAATGACAATGTCAAAGTTACACGATAATTTTCTCAATCTTGAAATGGGACAGATAATTGGTACCGTGTAATTGTTCCTCAGTTGTCTAAACCAATATATGACTGCATCTTAAAATTTTGGGTACATTTAAATGAGTATATAGGATAAGCTGTCGTGGCACGGATATTACAATCAAATCACATTTAACAACATAAAGAAAGAAAGATAACTCTTGTTTATATTATACAATAATTTAAACTGACGTATACACTGCCTACCAGATATAATTGATCGTGACTACGACTTTTTTTGTCTTCAAAAGCATAAGTAAATACAAAAGTAGGGGGATTAGGTTTCGGTAGTCTTTCTTTGAATTAATGTCAGCAAATTTGCTTTTCATATGGTACCTATAGTTAATTTTAGGTGCTTTTAATTTTCCGTGTCCAAATCTGGCAAGATGACCAGCAACAAATTTTGTTTTGAATATTTTGTTCCTGGAATGTAAACATCCCACATGAGGCAAAATCTTTTGAAATAGTTGAATCATTACGAAAATATACTCCAATATTACTTTTTTTACTCCCGAAAAATTTTAGTCTGCTGAAAATCACCCCTCAACCCCCTGGAGTTATCATTCATTAAAATGCAGACTGGTAAACCTTAGAGAAATATGAAAATAAGGAACAGTATTCAATCTCGAAAGTCCAATGAAACGATACAAATTTGGAGCACAGCAAACACGGAACTCAAAAATCAGAGGTGGCAAAGTAGTAGATTCCAATTTGTTCAATTCATGATCTCTGGAGATCAAAGTTAATTTAATTTTGGTCACGATAATTCAAAATAATGAACATAGCTCTAAGAAGTAGGGCACATACACATATTTAAATTTTTCACGAAAATAAACAAATGTCTGTAAAACAAAATTAAAAAAAAACATTCTTGAAACATATAGCATCTTGACAATGTGATGGAGTATCTAAATGATAAACAAAAATTAACTTTAGGCAATATTAAAAAAAATGTTTGCATAAACATGTGCAATAGAAATTGATACTCTAGATCCACCATCTGTAATTTTTTCATATTGATTAGTCAGTACTCAAGGTCCACCAGACTTATCTGTGGATTGATACTGGATGGAGTTGTTGCTCTATCCATGTCAGATTTTGATGATTTTTCTGATGAAATACTCTGAGCAGTGAAGGATCTTTTCAAGACATGCTGATTTGGAGGAACGCTCTTTTCAATTGTGCTCACTTGATAGAATAAATTATTTTTATAGTTTCCTTTTTCTTCTGGTAGTCCAACTTTTCTAAAACGAAAACAATGTACCAAAATCAGAGTCATCGTACATGTGTATGTTTTCAGAAAATGGCGTGAGGATTTTCGGCCTTTTCGTTTGGAAACAGACTTTAAAGGTGACTAATTAGGAAAAGGAATAATTATATATTGTAAAATCCAAACCTGTTTGAATCGTTGTGTTTTTTACATTTGTATATTGTTATCAAAACAACTATTCCGATGACAACAGCAGCTGCTAGAGGACCGACCACGATAAGAAGGGGAAAACCTTTAAGCAAATGTTTCAAATAAATTCATTCACAGATTCATATGAGTAACAACTCTTATTTAGAACTGATTATCTACCAATATTTAATCCTATACAAAAGCATATTTTATGCTAACGATTTGATTAAAAATGAAATTTATAAAAACAATGTATTACCTTCTGACTTTTGTTTCTTTATAGGTGTTGTTTCCTGCATATCTCTACTTGAAGGTGTTGTTGGCGTTTCCTGGGAATTAGGAGAAGTAGTAGTGCCATCGCTGGTTGTGTTAGTTTGAGAGGAAAACGACATAGTTGAAGTGACTCTGTTTTCCTCACTTGTAGTACTGGTTACATTTTTTGTGACGTTATTGCAAGTTTCCTGCAAAAATTGTTTGCGAAGACAGATTTTGTAAGAGGAAACATAAAAACCTGTTAAGCAATATTCTTCTGCATAAATAAAAACGTGATAAGCACTGCTTGAAAAAATAGCTTTACAAAACTTTACTTGCAAAGTAAATCTCATTAAAGGTGCTCCAAAAAGCAAGGTCATCTTTGTATTAACTTTACAAAAAGTAAAGGTGAAAAGGTAACCTTTACTTACACGAAAAGGTAATTAAATTTAACCTTTCACCTTTAATGCTGCATTAAAGTTTATATATATATATATATATATATATATATATATATATATATATATATATATATATATATATATATATATATATATATATATATATGTGAAACTTTTTTAAATCCTTATTTAAATACTGGGCTTTGTTTAATACACTCGTACTTAAGATTTCAACAAATGGTTTTTGACTTTTAAAATAAATAGGTATCTGATGTGTCTTTTGTGTTACCCCCACCTCGTTTTTGTTAAACTCGATCTTACTAAAAATACACAAATTTTCAAGCGTTATATCAATTTCCAGTTGTATTTAGTATTAGAGATTATCATCTACAAAATATAAAAAATTTATACTGTTTTTGTATACTGTAGATGGACAATCAAAAATGTAAAAATGGTATCAGATATCAGAATATAGATATAATAAACTTTAAAACTCCCTATGACTTAACCTTCAACTTATCTGATTTGTTGATATTTGATAGATGGAGAACTCTTTTTTATTTGCTTTTTGTGTAGATGTATTGAGACCTTTTCTGTTATAATTTCTGCTTCATAAATATCTACCAAAAACAGTTACAAACATTACAAGATTACATCTTTTACTTGAACAGGCAATAAAATGACAAAGAATAAAATTAAAGAATGTTAAAATACAATACAATATTATTTATCCTTTATGGTGCATGTACATGTGTTAAAACTTTGCAGTTTAAATGGAACTAAAAATGCCATACTCAGTTATTACTCAAGATCACTGACGAGAAACTACACAACATAAATCAGGCAAAGTACTAGTATTTCCAACATAAACTATTAAAGGCTATCTAATGAGTATTTATGTACAGGTTAATAATGTTGACATCTTGTAAGCATAATGGTGCAATTTACATATTCACAAAATAAACAAAATTGCTTAAACACCTATTAGAATATAGGTTCAGATGTAGTTTTACAAGATGCATAAGTAAATGCATGTGTCCAGCTTCACGCAGTGAGCCTGTTTGAGCTTGACTTTATACATTGGACTAAATGTTACGTGTATTGCATCTGTGGTAGGAGATTATGTTTGCATACGTGTCCATCTTCACACGCCTTGGAAAATATGTAACTGGTGTTGTGGTAGATGCTTGTGTGTTTGCATATGTGTCCAGCTTCACACATTTTCATGTATGTGCTCGACTTCACACGCCTTGGAAAATATGTAACTGGTGTTGTGGTAGATGCTTGTGTGTTTGCATATGTGTCCAGCTTCACACATTTTCATGTATGTGCTCGACTTCACACGCCTTGGAAAATATGTAACTGGTGTTGTGGAAGATGATGTACATTTGCATATGTGTCCAGCTTCACTCATTTTCATGTATGTGCTCGACTTCACATGCCTTGGAAAATATGTAACTGGTGTTGTGGTAGATGCTTGTGTGTTTGCATATGTGTCCAGCTTCACACATTTTCATGTATGTGCTCGACTTCACACGCACTGGAAAATATGTAACTGGTGTTGTGGTAGATGCTTGTGTGTTTGCATATGTGTCCAGCTTCACACATTTTCATGTATGTGCTCGACTTCACACGCCTTGGAAAATATGTAACTGGTGTTGTAGTAGATGCTTGTGTGTTTGCATATGTGTCCAGCTTCACACATTTTCATGTATGTGCTCGACTTCACACGCCTTGGAAAATATGTAACTGGTGTTGTGGTAGATGCTTGTGTGTTTGCATATGTGTCCAGCTTCACACATTTTCATGTATGTGTTTGGCTTCACACGCCTTGGAAAATATGTAACTGGTGTTGTGGTAGATGCTTGTGTGTTTGCATATGTGTCCAGCTTCACACATTTTCATGTATGTGCTCGACTTCACACACCTTGGAAAATATGTAATTGGTTGTGATAGATGCTTGTGTGTTTGCACGTGTCAAGCTTAACACATTTTCATGTATGTGCTCGACTTCAAACGCCCTGGAAAATATGTAACTGTGGTTGTGGTAATTGCTGGAGTGTTTGCATATGTGTCATGTTTCGCACAGAGAGAAAAGTTTTGTGTGCTCTTTTCTAGAAGATAATGATTATTTAAATATACTCCGAATACATCCTCTAAAGAAATGGATAATCATAATGAGTTACATACTAAGTTTCTCAGTGCACAATATACACAATTTTACTGAAAATTAAACTTGTGCAAAAACTCTCTTGCTGAATAACTTTCATTATTATAAATGCTTGAATGTTCATCTATATATTTTCAGATATTTTCTAGTCAATGTATATCTTCTTGATCATGATGGCATCCATATTTGATTCCCCTCTCTGTCATCTTTTCTTGGTCACCAATTAATTCAACAGTAGGCTGGGCACTCAGATCTCTCAGGTGTTGGACAAAAGGAGTGCTAATAATAAACATAATCTTTGAAATTATAGAGAATAACATCCATTTCTTTTCCAGGTTTGCATTAATTAGTTATCTTTTGAAATTAAAGCACTTCTGCAATAACCTTGAAAACTTGCCAAGATACATTAAATGTTTGTAGCATGCTTTAACTACTTTAATTTTATTTTTGGAAGTTTAGAATAATAGAAAAACAAGTTCAAAAATAAAATGTAAAAGATCTTAATAATGAAGATTCATTTACACAATGTTATAACACACTGAAGTCAATTCCTCACCTGACTCTCACAATTTATCTTCATAATGGAGTTGATTCTATGATGATCACTTTCAATCATTTAAAAAAACTTCTTCATCTCAAACTATCTGAAGGTCATCCACCTTCCCAACTGCCACTCACCTAAAGTGTACCGAGACTTCTGACCTGTATAATATCAAAATTCAAGATTAAAATTTTAAAAAATCTCTTCACCACACTGGTCTCTTTAAAAAATGTGAGAAAATAATTTAAATACTTTTCTGAAGATGAAATAATGTAGTGAGTATCTAATATTGTTTAAAAAATATTTTGATCCCTGTACAGTGATAATGTATGAAAAAGTCATGTCCCTTGTATTTGAAAAAAAAATTCCATTCTTAAGGACATTACCCAACATGGAAATAATGCACATTTGTCTCTGGCACAACCAAACCACAAGAGACCTTTCCATACTTAGCACCATATGCATTAGCTCTCCACTCTTTGTTTCTACAAAAGATAAATTATGAAAAGGTAATTTTTTGACAGCTAAGTCGGATTAATTATTTTCCAGTCAGTGATGAACAGAATATTTGATTTCCTTAATAATGAGGGACAGATTATTCATGTTTATCTTAAATGAACAAAGTTAGCTCCCCCCCCCCCATCGCCACTACAAAAAGGAAAAAATAAACTGACTCAGAAACTCTTATTTCAGTAAAGTAAAGGGAGTAATGGCATCAGACGAGGGAAGATTATTAATCATTTTTTTCAGCTGAGATGAGATTATATCTTTTAAACATTTTTGTGGTTAATATATTTTTAACCCCTCCCCCCCCTTTCCGCATCAAACAAAAAATAGTCGCCCATTTATTTAGCTTTCCTAAATCTGTAACAAAATTTTTATTATGATTTTTTCCATTTTAATTTATTATATCCTGACACTGATGCCACCACTATATAGTAGATGCAACAACTTGAGAGGTGACCCCTCTTCTTCCCTCCCTCCCCTAGATGTTTCGTCTTAATGTTAAACGACTGTTGTTCAATATCTTGAAAGACAGAAAACAGTTATACACAAAAAATAAGCACATTTTCATTACCTTGCAGTCAGTGTCACACGCAGACATCTCGCAATCTCTTTGTTCATTCTTGGCGGAATTTTGTTGCCTCGTAGACTGGTTCCCATACATTGCAAATGCCCTGAATAAGTCCTACGCTTATTAGTTTCGTTTAGAAGAGGTAATATCAGTAATATGTCCCGTTCATTTGACAACCTTTACTTTAAAATACTGAAATATATTTTATCATATATACGGATGTTTTCCACCTCAGTATTGTGTAATCCTCTTCATCCAAGTCTTCTCGAATACAAAACGAACGATCTACTTTTAACAGTAACCCAAATATGGCACTGTGTATTCGAATGAATAGCCAATCATTTCAAATCAAGTTGAGCGGGTCTCATCGGTATTTTCCGAAAATATGCAACCAGTGATCAGTTGAATTGATACCTTTTCATCTACCAGAAGATTTAAGGAGGTTATTGCTTGGAAAACTGTTCGAGCTCCCAGGCTGGCATGCACTGCAGGTTTGTTTACGTTTTCCATCTGTTTTCAGCATACATTGTGAAACATTGAAACTGATGAAAGTCAGGAAAAACTACGCTAAATATGTGTTTTTAGATAAGTAACTTGATAAATTGGGGATAATGTTCCATTTTTTTCTGTAAATGATCATGGATTAAACAAGACCAAGGAAAACAATTCTATGTCACAATTTCAGAATGTTTAGCTGTTTACATTAGTGCTAGGAAAAAATGTAGAAGCCAGGGTAGGGGCAATGTTCTTAATAGAGGACAAGTTAGGTTATATTTTATAGATATTATTTTGTATTCTAAACCATGTCCATTTTCAAAAACAGTAGCAATGCCACATGAATTTTTTTACCTTTTCTAAAACAGTTTTTCTGCATGTTTCTTTCATTAGTTGATCAAAGAAAACTTATTACAGTTTATTTGAACTCAATAACTTCAAAATTGACAAAGTTATGGGTATGTGAACATTTTGAAATATTTGTAACCATTTTAGGCTCGATTTAGAAAAGGAAGAAAAAGTAACCAATGTCTATAACTTTTTTATTTATGGATGTTTCTTCTTCAAATTTTCAGGATGTGTTCATTAGATTGTAAGCTCAAAGAAAAAACTAATAAAGTATGAATTTACAGTCTGTGAATGACATAATTAAGCTAATTAGCTGATGCTTCATCACGAAAATCTGCCACTTATATTTTGTTTTCCCAAAATCAGTCAATGGAACTTGAATCTTCTTTCTAAAACATTAATGAAACTTAATGTTAAACATTTTCCTTTTAATACACAACCTCAATTCATATAATTAAAAGTGCAATTCTAATTAATTTCCTGTATAAAAAGTGCAATACTAATTAATTTCTTGTAATTGACTAATTCTCAAAAGAACTATAATAAAAACAAATACAAACAATAGCACATTTTTAATAATAAAATTATTTTTTTTAATAATTACCAAGTCAAGGTAATTCTAAAATTATGGAGGAAACCAGAAATGTATCTATAGATATCTTCAATCATGGAAAACTTATGGTACCTACAAGTAAAAAAAAATGGTATTACTTAAAATAAAAAGGAAATTTTATATGGATCAAATTTCATTAAATATGCAGTCAACATATATTTTTTATCCACATAGAATTTTAATTTTAAAAAATTAGATATCTCATTATTGACATAACAATAATATATTAGAACAGATATTAGAATTTTAAATTAAATGAAAAAATATGTAAATATATCGTATTATTGACATTATAATAAATTAGCCACATAAAAATGAAGAGGGAACAGGAGACACTCTTGTGTTTGATGTAAATTTTCTCTGTCTGGAGATGTAAATTATAGATTTCTAGTCATAAAAACTTATCTTCTGAGAGAACATGCTATAAAAACTCACTACCTGTGAGAACATGCAATAGTAAAACAAATGTAAACCACTGAAACTTTTTTACTGTTTTAAGTGAAGATCCTTAAAATTACATGTAATAAAAGGACTTGACTTTGCCAAACAATTATACTGGAGTATATCCTGAATAATTAACTACAAAAAACTCTACAAAACAAATATTTCATTAAACTACGGTAACTGTGAATCAGTCTCACTCTCCTCTGTATCCGAAAATAACAGTTGTTAATATTCGTCCACTAAAAATTAATTTAGAATTGACTTCAGTTGTGATAAATTCATGTATAAACTATAATATAATTGCATAACTGCCTTGAATTGTTCAAGTTAGTTAAAATATTGTAATTTCCACTTTTATATCACTTCTTAATTGTTTACAATCATTTTGTAGTTATCAGCGTTAACTGCAAGGATGGAGTTATCGTTCTTGAATTTCCGTGGCTGCACGAAAAAGCGTATTTCTCCACTATTACGCTTCATTCTAAGACAAACTTGTTTTGATATGTTCACTTACGTATGTAAACAACATTTTGATGTGCATTACGTATGCGTATTTTCCTTTAAAGTAAAATAAAAACATCGATAAAAAATTCAGAGAGGTTTTATACTTACTTCTTGACAAAGCCCGGGGAAATTTTTACCAAATACGTCACGCAGAAAGGATTTTCCACTAAAAATAGCTGGTACATTCGGACACCTCTGGCGTTTTCATAGGAAAAAAACCCGTAATACAAACGATGTAAACTGAGGTCAGGATTGCGCCATTATCTTATTTACAATCGACAGCGCCGCCTAGCGAGCTTTCGCATTGCTAAAAACAGGTACAGTGAAATCAATTATGCAGGTTCTTGAAGAAAGTCATGGATGACAACAATGTATGATTTACCAAACCAAGGGATCCCAATGTTTTTTTGACGGTACTTGTAGTTTTTAAAAAAATCAATAAATAATATCATAAAAATGTTACTTAAACAATTATTTAAATTATCAATTGCTTGACTTTTTCGGGAGTCAGTATAATTATATATTTCTGTTTTCAAAAAATGTGTTATTACTTTTTCCAGGCTCCAGCTACTCAGCTTACTGTGAGAGAGTTAACACCTTATTGACATATCTTTCATGAAGAAGAAACACTTGAGAAGAGTTCAAGAGTATAATTTTATAGATGGCAAGTGTTGCTTAGACCTTAAGTATTCTTTAATTGTGAAGAAAACAAACATAAGGATGTTCGGCAATTCATAACTATTAACTGTGATTGCATTGTGTATTTTTAAAATCATTCTTTGGTATGCTTCAAACTCAAAAGTATTTATGAAAACATTGACTATATTTATCCAGATGTATGAAATGTTTATCAAAGTATAAATTCCATTTTAGCATGTTATCTTCAAAATGAGGGACCTGTCAACTTTTACAATTCCAAGATCAGGAAATAATTCATGAGCAGCAACATGCTACTGGGAGAAAGGTACATATATCCTAAACCATAACTTGAATATCATACTATAGCTCTATAAGCAGCAACTATTGGTCTTTTTGTTACCTGATGACTAAGAAGGAAAATGGAGTTAATTATATGTGTTCAGTAATTATTCATAGATACTGATGCCAGTACTTTTTCACAAATTATCTTGCAAGTAAGACAAACATTTTCTCAATTCTGCAAAAGTATCTTAGCTACAGAAGGTCATGAGAAATCTCATTTTACTCCTACATTAGCATATTTTGTAAATAATCCTTTCAAAAGAAAAATTAGGTAATGATAAGCAAAGAAATTACAGAGTTATTAAATTTCAATCTTAGGGGTAAGATAAGGGCTAGTGGCCCAGTCCATTTATATCATAAAATAAGTTAATAGCAACATGTTCATCAGTTTGTATCTGTCTTATTTAATAAGATTAACATAGTCTTTTTGGTAAAAATAAAGGCTGACATTAATGGTTCAGAATATTTTTTTTTGAGGTTAAAGGTCATGTATGAAATTTTTATCTACATGTGTTAATATGGTTGCATCTCGTTTCAATTTTCATTAGTCATGATACTGTGAATACTGATATCACAGTTTATTTGAATTTATAACACAGATGCCTATGAAAATATTCATGTCACTGAAAATATATATATATATTTTTCTTTTAAGGAAAACAGTAGAAGACTGCCTGCATGAGAATAAAAGTTTTGGACTCTGGAAAGGAATATGTGACAAAATATATATTTGGACAGTTGTTGATTTCCACAGAAACGCATGTCGAGTAACAAAAAAGTGGAGCACAGTTTCATGTCAATTCAAATCTTTAAATTCAAGGATGAACAATTGGTTCTTTATAAAACAAAATGACATGTTTGAAAAGGATTTTAGTGCAATGTACTCTGTCCTGGATACTTATCTATGTGTATGGGATTTGCAGGATAGACTATATAAAACAGATACTGTCAAGAAATTTGATGTTGTTGATTATATGTTTGTATAAAAATGTTTAGTATAGTAATAAACAAGTTTAAGTCAATCTGTTGTTACTTTGTATATTAAGTATGATGTCCAGACTTCTTTTGCAGTTTCAATTTGGAAGGAAAAGCTTATTTATTATATGCACAAGCTTTATTCAAAAGAATGGAAAACAGTAATTAACTTTTGTGGCTATTAAAGATGTTATTTAATTAAATTTAATATTTGTACTTATCAGATTTAATGTACCCCAAATACTGTGTTTAATGTTTGTAAATATTAACTTTACTTTTTTGTAAAGTCAAGACAATGTGGGACATTACATCATATTTAAGTGCATGTAAAGTTAATGTAAAGGTTACCTTTTCCAACTTTGACTTTTTTCAGAAAAGCCAATTAAAGGCATTGTAAATAATAAATTTACATTATCTTTACTTGTTTTGTAAAGCCAAATTTTCATGCAGTGAAGGAACTTGAACGTAAATGCTATATTGATTTTATGAATAATTTACATTCCATTGTAATCATATGCATTTTGTCGCAAATTGTACCGACGTATATGAATATTATTGAGAGTTTTTTTTTCCCTGAAAATGTTTTTGCCAATGCAGAAAATGTATGAATCATGGAAAGACACTTCTTTAAATTTAAATACTAGTATACGTACGTCTGAGTCTCTACACCATGTACACAACAGAGAATTGCAATTGTCAATACTAAGACATAAATATAATTGTATAAATACTAATCTTGTATAATATCTTTCGTTACAATTATGCATATTATAGATGAAATATATGGAGATAACGAACAGTATTCAAGCTCAAAAGTCCATTATACAATACAAAATAGGAGCAGAGCAAACACGGACCTCCAAACATCAGAGGTGGGATCAGGTGCCATGGAGGAGTGAGCATCCCCTGCCTACCGGTCACACCCACCGTGTGCTCCTTGTCATGATCGGGAAATAACGGAAGAATCCGTCGACAAATCAGTGTGTAAATAATGGCCTAACAATTAGTATGAAAAACGTCAGTCAGCATTTGACTCAATGATAAATTGTATTTGCTGACAAGGTCATTGTATCGACCATAGAACTTACGAAATGATGACTTTAAACGAGACAGCTGATATTCTTGTTTCATCAACTTATTTGTCAATAATTTACCTCGTTTTAGAAATTGTACATACGTAGAGCATGCTGAGAGATATATACCCCGCATGCAGGTGATGAAGGTATATTGCTGCATAAGTAAGGGAAGTTGACGATTGAAAAGTTAAAGTCATCACGTTTATCATAAAGCTTGGTTGTTATATTACCATTAACGTCTTTTTCAAGTAAAATATCCAAATATGAAACAGATGTGTCAGACTCTGTGGTATCTTTTATCTCAAGTTCACCAGGATATATCGTATCGACATAAGAATGAAAATAGCCATTGTTAATTGACAATACGTCGTCGATATATCTAAATGTAGAGTTGAACGCCACAGCAAGTGTTTTCTTCTTTTCACGTACAAGATTTTGGACAAATTCTGCTTCATATGAATACAAAAAAAGATCTGCTAACAACAATTGCGCCCCGCAATTGGTACCCATAGGTATTCCAATAGATTATTGGAAGACCTGGTCTCCAAAAACCACATAGATATTGTCATTCAGAAACTCAAGCATCTTTTTAATGTCATCTTCAGAGTACTTGTGTTTTTTAACAAAATAATTTTGCAAATGACCAATGACAAGGTAAGTATATTTACGAGTTCCATTTTTATTGAAAAAGCAGCTGTCAATGATATCAAAAAGCCTGGACTTTAATTTATCGTGGGGAATGGTTGTGTATAAAGTTGAAAAATCGTAAGTTTTTAAGCTGTTGATTTTGGTAAAATCTTGTGATTTCAAATTTTCCAAAAGTTCCTTGGAATTTTTAAGTATCCACATCTGATTTACACCACTTCTCGAATATATTGTTGCACAGTACTCTTGAAGTTTCTCCTTCACCACTGTTAATATCTTAGTGAGGAGTAAAGATAGAGGCTTGGTTGAACATTTACTGGAACCCGCTATGTATCTTTGTTTGTAAGGATTTTTATGAAGTTTCGGAATCCAATATAAATATGGTAATTCGAATTCATTTTGGTTGTTTGGAATATTAAAAATATTCAAAACTGATATATGATTTTGAAGAATATCTTCCTTAGAAAGGGAACTATAAGTTGGATTACCACTTGTAGAATTAAATCCAAGTTCCTCTAAAATACATTTAATATAGTGAGCCTTACAAACAAAGACAATGTTGTTACCTGCTTTGTCAGCAGGGACCAGTACGTACTGATCATGTAATCTATCTAATTCTTTTTTCACTTCTCGATTATTGAATACAGAAGGATAGATGGTTTCTGAACAATACAAGAAGAAAACAAATGATGAATTTGACTTTACCATATATTCACAGACAACAGTTGTTGAATTACAGGAAAAACACTGCTCATCATAAACAATAAAGGTCATGGACTCTCCAAAGTGCATTGCGTCATAGGACAACTGAACGTCGAATGCAGTAGCATATGGATCTGAAGACGTTGCTCTCTTTCTCCGAGTGGATATAGGTAGTGTTAACGTTATAAGTGAAGAATCTTTGTAAGAGGCTGTAGAAATGCTGGTCCCCATGATCATCTTTGTTCCATTTGATAATATCTATATATAGAAAAGACTACCATTTGAACAATTTATTCAGGTACATAATGATTACCAAGGCAATTTGTTGTGTTAGAGAGAGAGAGAGAGAGAGAGAGAGAGAGAGAGAGAGAGAGAGAAAGAGAGAGAGAGATAAATTAAATAAAGTATGTGTATTCGGATTTTATTCATTACATTAAATTTTGAACAAAATAAAATCCACACCTTTGAATGTTCATATTTCACATGAATTTCCTCCGTCAAGAAATATCCAACAACATTTGTTTTCAGACAAGGTCTTACACGTTCTCCACAGAGTCCTTGCCTTGGAATTCTAGTGTTGTCTGGTGGTACAGTTATCGAATGAGAACAGTCAAATCCTATGTAACCCGAGTTGCATTTACATTCTCCTTAAAGAAAAATATATGTATAAAAAATTAAATGACTTATGGTAACATTTTTATTTTAAAGGTGTAGTTTATCGGCATATTTTTTATGAAATATATTGGAAACGTACCATTGTTGCAATCGCCGTTTCCAGAGCAATAGTTGAAGCAAGCCAAAGATGTAAACATGTCGAGAATACTCTGTCCATTTGTACTGTTCACGATATAGAAGCGTTCGTCTCTTTTCATCATGGACACGCAGTAATCCTTCATGCTTTCTACTGTTACTGACGTCCATTCAGTTGAGCCATTAGAATCCTTTTATCGTTAGAAGATGACGCTTAAGAATAGATTTTATCAAGTTCCATTTTAAAAAGAGCTATTCAGGTTTTAGTACTTACTTTTATGTCAAGAATACAGTCATTGATCGTCTGTGATGTCATATTTGACATATCCAGATGTCTTCCACATTCTAGTAAGGATGGGTCAACATTAATTTTGTCTTCACAATGCGCTCTAGCAGATTCCTCTGTCCATCCATTTGTCCAAGTAGATTCCTTTAACGAAACCAAAACAAACTGAGCTGCAGTAGCTTTAATGTGTACGCTAGATCCTTCGAACTCTAACTTGGAGGTATAACCTTTGTTTATCTTTAAATATTGAGGATTTATATTATAGTTTATATTCAAGTTTAATAAAAGAGGCATGATGAATACTCATGTAGATATGAAGAGAGTACAAATCGTTTACCTCTTGTATATAATCTGGATCAAATTCGGGATCGTATGTTATGGTTTGAGTCTCAATAACATTGTCCCCGTTGTCTGACGATCTCCGCCGTCGTAGTCCCCCTTCACAAGCCTCTTCAAATGGAGAAGTCCACTGCACTTTAGAGCATTTAACCATGGCGTCAGTAATGGTGCAATTTGCGGTATAGTGATTTGGAAAGTCTTGAAGACTCTTTGTCTCTGTTGAGCATGAACAATATACTGGCAAAGTGTTGACTGACGTTGTGAGATCAACGTTTGGTCCGAACAAACTTTTAGTTGACTGAATATTTGTTATTCTGTGCAAAATTATGAAAATCTCAGATATATTAATTTTTAATTGGCAGGCAACCATTGATCTCTGTGAGTGTTAAAATATATACAATGTATGAATGTTTTTTTTAAATAATTCATTATTAGATTAAAGAAAAACTTTATTAGAAGAAACACATAATTATATAATCACCGTTGTATGGTTGAAATACTGCCGATATGGCGTTCAACAATAATCAATCAGAGTAAAATTCTAAATTAAATGTTAAAAATTTTTCATTTCTCTGGGGATTTTTTTTTTATGGTATTTATTGGATTTCCGTTATATAAAAGACACCATAAACTCTTGACAATAAAAACCCCAGTCACATTTCAAAAATCGAGGAAGGGCCGACATTTTAGGCAAAATAGGATTCTTCGGGCAACAGTCAGCATTACATCGTGCGCCATCTTTGCCCTATTTTGATCTCTTTTTGTCGGCCGGCCAATTTTGTATCTAGGGCCAAGTAATAATTTTTTCTGCGTCGGTGGCCAATTCTTTCAATGAAGCAGTCGTTGAATAGGCCGTCGTCCTATCCTCGATCACAGTCCGACCATCGGCAGACAGTTTGCTAAGTAGGTCGTCGGACGGTCGACATTAAAATGTCAGCCTACGGTCTAAATCAAACTGCGGCTCAACAAACGATGATCTGGCGATAGTTGGTCGACGTATAAATTTTTAACTTTTAAAGGTACCAGGGATTATGCCCAGATCGCATTTAAGCCGATGGTCGGTCGACGAAATTTTTCTGGTATGTTGGCTGAAAAAATATGTTCGGCCAACACGAGTATGGGGTGACATGAAGTAGTCACATTAATTCCTTAGAAAAACCAATGACTTAAAAAGGTTAAATATTTATAAGTCGGCCAATCGTCGCCCGATTATCGAGCGCTGAGATTCAACTGGATTTTAACCGTCGGCCGAAATTTTGGAAAGCCTTAAATGTCGACCGACCGACGGCCGTCTTTATAATCTGACCGCCGATGATTGGACGATGCTCGAAGGTGCTTCAATGTAAGAATTCGGCCTCTGACGCAGAAAAAAATATAACTTGGCCCGATGGACACACAATTGGTCGGCCGACGAAAAAAGAGGTCAAAATCGAGCAAAACAACAGCCGATAAACTGCTAACTGTCGCCCGAAGAATCCCATTTTTGCTTCAAAAAACCGTCCGCCGTTGCTCGTTTTTGTAAATGTGACTTAGGTTTTAATGTGATTTATCTGTTTTCAGCCGATGATAAGAGAAAAATGTGGTGGCCTTTAATGTGACATAGGTATGTTTTTTTTTTTCAAATGACTTGCATAATTTTAATGAAAATAGTTTGCTAAAGAATACATTCGATTTTCATTTTTTGCATCAAAATGTGTTTGGATTTTTGTGTTTTTCTTTTCAAAACAAGATTCTTTGAAGAAACGCTTTTGAAATTATCATTTAGAATAAAAGTAAGGCTACAGGAGGGTTGTTTTCTTTTTTTCCGTTATTACCCGATCATGACAGGGAGCACACGGTGGGTGTGACCGGTCGGAAGGGGATGCTCACTCCTCCATGGCACCTGATCCCACCTCTGTTGTTTAAGAGGTTCTTGTTTGCTCTGCTCCAAAATTTGTATTGTTTAATGGACTTTTGAGCTGGAAACAGTTCGTTATCTCCATACATTTCATTACTTCTCCGATTCAAGAGTTCAAAATGATAAACAGGCGATTTGCATTCAATATATCAATATTCTATTCCTTATTTAACAAAAAAAAAAAAACAAAAAAAACAAAAAAAAATATGCATATACATCTGTGAGACAAGTTCCTTTTTTATACAGAGGTTCAAATGTTGTCCAGAGGATCAGAAGTTTAATTTCACTGAAAGTGTATCTCAAAAGGTCATGATACAAGCATTTCACACGCGTACGCTTCTTATCAAAATCAATCTTTAAATGATGGATGTGACACGACGGACTGCAAAATTCAAAGCCTTGGATACATATTCATTTTTCGTCGGCAGAGAGATGCTCGAAATTCCCGATAATGTATTTAAAATCTATTTATTATTACCTCCAACTCCTGGTAAAAGTCAGAAAGTTATTTGTGGGAGAAAAACTGCCAAAAGGAATGAAATCGTCTCCTCTATCCAAATTAGCATTTCCACAGATCCCCTCTGTATTTCCAACATCAAAATAGGATGGAAAAATACTGATAGAATTTACCCAAGACCCATAATAGCGGTATCTCAATTCTGTTCCTGTTGGCAAGAGTATCTGTAATAAGTGTGTATATTTCAATGGAGTGCTTTAAAAGTGTTGAAATGTTGGAAGAAGATAGCATACTGACTAATTATAGGCTTATATATTTTTAATTTGACTCTGCTAGCAGACTACCGAGCACGTCGATGAAAAAATGTATTATACAGTGAAATCTACATAGTTTGGAACCACTGTTATCTTGTAAGAGTAATTTTGGTTAACTTGTACTATCATAGATTCGTAAAAGAACTACATAAATTAATTTTGTACTACTTGATATTCATCAAATAATTTTTCTTATTAACATAAATATCATACCTGTACGTATAACTCTAGAAATCCCGATTGCAAATACACCATATAATTTCATGTGAGTACAATCTTAGGACTACATTACATTATTCTTCACGTATATTTTTATTGGTGCGTGTAAATGAACATATTAAGGTAGATATTAAACATTTCTTACGGTAACATAATAGCCAGTATCCTTAATGTCCATGTGTTGTTTGTCACACAATCTAAGAATCTTTGTATGGTAGCCGGCAAGATGTGTATGTCTGTGTGAAATTACTCGACAGAGATGGTGAATGTAAATAGAGTTTTCCACACGGACTGCTATACCACAGGAACACGAGCCAGCACCACAGAGTGTAGTCATTACATGAATCTTGCCGTAAATAAATGTTGAATATATTTAAATGTAAGACAAAAACGACCTGACGATAATATTATCTGGATACCATCTGAAAATGTTAATTGCAAAAAGATCTTCTTTTTTTTTTTTTAATTAAGAATCACAATAACAACCGAAGAATGAAGATTTACATCATTGAATACATCATGAATTGAGAGTGATCGTAACTTTTGCAAATTAAAATACATAATAAAAATTTCCCATACCAAAGCACATCTGTCAGTGAAAAACTTACCTTGATATTCCTCTTTTTGTGACTGTACATGACAAATTCTCCTACATCATAAATACTTCCATGACGTCCGTCAAATGTACGTAATCTTGGATCCGTCCAGAAATAGCAATTTGAATGCCGAATTGTAAAGTCTTTGTCAGTTACGTAAACCTGAAAATCATTTTCAAGTTACTCGTATATATTACTGTAATCTATTTAACTGATTCTTTTTTTTTTATTTCACCAATTCAAATAGCATTTTGAATTTTAGAATCAATATGCTGCATTTAGGTTAAAGGCATTCAATACTCCACGCTAGTACGAAATATTTAACGAGTTTATGATAAACCAATTTTAAGGCATCACAAAACTTACTTAGAACAAATCATAGAAATAGGGCATTGCATAAGTTTTAATGTAATGTTTAGCTTTTAAAAAAGAATTGTCAATTAGAAAATTTACCCTGAAAATATATAAAGATTTGTAATATAATATACATGTACTTTCATTACATTATGATATTGTTTGATTCATTAAAGTTGATTCTTTCTTGTATTAGGTGTACCTTAATATCTGGCATCGTTATATTGTCCCATACACGTGACGGATCCATCCCATTTGTGGTAGTTGTACCAAGTCTGATGTTGGTTTCTCGATCAGCTATATTGATCAGATTATCGACATTTCCTGTAACATTGAGCCTCACTGTGGAATTCCAGGACGTACCTTTGACTAACATTCCGCAATGATTTTCTTTGAAGGAAATGACGTCACTGTTTGAAAAGTTCGTGCATTGCTGAATGTTTGACTGGTAGGTTGGAGTCAACAAGTAGATTAATGCATCACAGTTACTTTGAAATGATTTTGCAATGCATCCGACAGGGACAGTGACATTAAAGTTGATTGAAATTGTCTCACTTTCGGCAACGGTATACTCAGTCTTTTCGGGCTGATTTAAATATGAACAAAATTTTTGATTATTTTGACTTCAATGTGAATTGTCACATTTTTTTTTCATTTGAAAGATTCAAAATTACTTGTAATGTACAGTACAGTTAGCATTCGATTCAGAATAAGCTATTAAATTGTTAGATTAATTTTGTTTTTTTTTCTTCAAAATTTTGAAACTTAAGCTAACTCACATCTACAAGAGAAACAATTTATGATAAAGTCTATTTATCTTACAAATATTCCTGCATTGAATTCTGCACTGTATTGATGTTTACCAGGGGCAGCACCGCTAGAGAAACGGATTCTAACCGAACATTTGACCTACATTGGAAAAGATACACTTGATAGTTGCAAAGGATACATATCATCCATCGAATATTAGTATTTAAACACATGGAATGTTTCATATACCTTCATATTTAAGTCATGTTCATTCACCCAGTCTGCTGGGTAAAGCCAGAGCGACGTTGATTCAAAAGTTTGATTTCTAGTAATTTTCACGTTGTCACCATCAATGAACCAATGCACGTCAAAAAGGTATGTATTGTCCTGAGGTTCATCAAATATGCATTTGAATACTGTTATGAGGGAAGGATTATTCGGAAAGAAAGACGTGCTTTCTTCCAAAGAGGCAACAATATTTGGAGTAACTGTTATGTTCGGCACACCTATCAATAACAAAACATGATGAAATGTAAGATTAAATAATTCCAATCTTAATTTTATTTATTGATTTCCTGTGTTTTGATTGGAAGAGAACAAATTCAAGAAAAAGTTTACACATCGATAAATCTTTCAACCAGAACTACTTTCCTGGCTTAGCTTTTATTGTAAAGAAAAAAATTGAAACAAATCGTTACTTCTAGTTTGTTTTAACTAAACGACTACAGAATCTTTAAATTAAATAAAAAACAACATTGACGATATACAGGACTGACAGACGGGAATGTTATGTTTATGTCACTTTCAGATCACGAGTGTGAATTTTTATTTAAATCTCTCTTAGGATATTATTAAAGAAACGTACCTCAGACGCTTGCCTTATTAGCATCAAATTAATATTTCTACATTCTATATTTTGCCTTGTCGGCAATCAGATTTTGGAACGCAGTTCGCAATTCGCAATTCAAAAGTGAACTGCATTCTAGAACGCAGTTCGCAATTCAAAATTTTAACATAAGCCATGGGGTCTGAAATTTTGAGGGTAGGGTACTAGGGGTCAGTTACCACTTCTGTGAAAATATGTTGATGGTACCATCTCTAGTTTCCGAGATCCATCTCTCCACTTTTTATGGCTACTACATAATACTAAGTGAATAAACATCGGGTTCGGGGACATCAAAGACCCCTGTCCTGGGGTCTGACATTTTTGGGATGGGGTACTATGGGTCAGTTACTACTTCTATGAAAATATGGTGATAGTACCGTCTCTAGTTTCCGAGATCCACCCATCCACTTTTTATGGCTACGATATAATACAAAGTGAATAAACATCGGGCTCAGGGACATCGAAGACCCCTTTTCTGGGGTCTGAAATTTTGGGGGTGGGGTACTAGTGGTCAGTTACCACTTCTGTGAAAATATGGTGATGGTACCGTCTCTAGTTTCCGAGATCCACCCATCCACTTTTTATGGCTACTATATAATACTAAGTGAAGAAACATCGGGCTCAAGGACATCGAAGACCCCTTTTCTGGGGTCTGAAATTTTGGGGGTGGGGTACTATGGGTCAGTTACCACTTCTATGAAAATATGGTGATGGTACCATCTCTAGTTACCGAGATCCACCCCTCCACTTTTTATGGCTACTACATAATACTAAATGAATAAACATCGGGCTCGGGGACATCGAAGACCCCAGGACAGAGGTCTGAGATTTTTGGGATGGGGTACTAAGGGTCAGTTACCACTTCTGTGAAAATATGGTGATGGTACCATCTTTAGTTTCCGAGATCCATCCCTCCACTTTTTATGGCTACTACATAATACTAAATGAATAAACATCGGGCTTGGGGATATCGAAGACCCCTGTCCTGGGGTCTGAAATTTTGGGGATGGGGTACTAGGTGTCAGTTACCACTTCTCTGAAAATATGGTGATGGTACCATCTCTAGTTTCCAAGATCCACCCCTCCTCGCTGTAGAGTCGCGGAGTAAGGAGTTGATCCTTACGTCGCGGGTTCGAATCCCACTGTGGGACGTGGAGACTGGTCCTTTGGATGAGACCGTATAAACCGAGGTCCCGTGTCGGAGTAGGTGCTGGCACAAAAAAGATCCCTCACTGCTCAATGACCCTAAGTGCCGAGTATAGGTCAAAATACGCAGCTCTCCACCGTAAAGTGGTGGCGTCTCCAGATAAATGAAAAAATCCCGAGAGGGACGTTAAACAAAAAACAAACAAACATACCCCTGACCCAGGGGTTATTAATTTCAATTTTTTGAAGAGACATCCTTGAGAAACCTGCAGTTAACTCTCCAGGGACAGGGAATTTCAAAGAAATATTACATTATACCTATATTTCATTTTCACAGTATACATGTATTCCACAGACATGCCCAGACCTTAACACTCTAATCAGGGTGACAAGTTTCACAATTTTGAAAGTACCATCCTTGCTCATCATGACCATGCATTTAGTTCATCTGCTAAGTACTCAGTAGTAGAGAAGATTTTCAAAGAATTCATGCACTTTTTTACTCTATTATAGACAGCCCCCCCCCCTTTCCACAAAACCCCTTAGCGGGGCTATATATTCCACAATTTTGAAAAAGGCAAATTACTCATCATGACCATGCAGTTAGTTTGTCTGCTAAATTCCCAGGGATAGAGAAGATTTTCAAAGAACTGATGCATTTTAACAATATAAAAATAGAGCCCCTCTCGAAGACCTTGGGCACGTTTTACCAAAAAAATAATAATAAAAAAAAAAAAAAAAAAAAAAAAAAAATACGCCTAAGATCAAAGGCTTACGTTGTTTGTAAAATTTTACAGAATTGATAATTCTGTTTGAAATTCCTAGCTTAAAATTATCTTGTTAAATTCGTTTAACAAGATTAAAACCATTTTTTAACATTTGTAATATAGAGAGTAATAAGCATAGTTAAATTCTGGTCTTTTGTAAAACGGGCCCAGAACCCCTGAACCAGGGATATCACCTTTTCGAGATGAATAGGTGATATCACCTATTCGAATAATTGATATAACCTATTCGAATAGGTGATATCACCTATTCAATTGGAATGAGTGATATCACAAACTGGAATGGGTGATATCACCTATTTGCAATTCTTACATAATAAAATAATGAATGCTCCCTTCCTGAAGACTATCTAGTTTTCCATTGGCCCCAAGAAAATTCGGGCTGCCCAGTTAATCCGAAACATTTTAAAGACCTTATGTTATCGATCCTTGTTATATAAATTGCACTCGCAGATTAGTTTAAAATTTGCAATATTTATTGATAGTTTCTGAGTTCTCTCAGTTATGATTATTCTTGTTCAAAAAAAATGAATTGTATAAATCTTGTCACCTGACTCACGAGATTTTTCGATAACATTAACAAATTATAAACGAAAGTGAAAGTAAACGAGGCTTTCAGACCCCCTAGTCTTGAGAGGAGTTGTTATTTCATAAATAATTTGAATAGGTGATATCACCTTTTCGATTAAATGATATCACCATTTCAATATGATATGGTGATATGACCAATTCGAATAGGTGATATCACCAATTCAGAAGCTGAATAGGTGATATCACTTATTCGAATAGGTGATACTGGTATCACCAATTGAATAGGTGATTCGATTAAGTGAAATCACCTATTTGAATAGGTGATATCACTTTATGACAGTAAATACCGAAACGATGCCCCATAGAGGAAACTGAAAATAATCGAATGTTTATGACGGATAAAACAAATAGCAATAAATTAAATGAACTTAATACAACATTGAGTACTTCGAGACTGGTCCTTTGGCTGAGACCGTATCCCGTGTCGTAGAAGATGCTGGAACGAAAAAGATCCCTCACTGCTCAATGGCCCTGAGTGCCGAGTATAGGTCAAAATTTGCAGCACTTCACCGGAAAGTGTTGGCGTCTCCATATGAGTGAAAATTCTCGAAAAGGGACGTTAATCAAAGAACAAACAAACAAACACATTAATTATACTCGTTATAAATGACCCCCCCCCCCCCACCGAACAAGCATCTACATAGGAACACTAACTTTATCGGATTTTTTTTTAGATTTTGGAATATCTCTCTCTCTCTCTCTCTCTCTCTCTCTCTCTCTCTCTCTCTCTCTGTGTGTATTACAAACTCAAAGCACGATTAGAAAGGGTATACACTTCTTTCATGAGTCGATAGTTATTATTTATATTTAAGGTACATTGTATCTTCAACCCCATGTGACGTCATAGGTTTTGATTTTTGTTTGTTTGTATGTTGTTTAACGTCACTCATATGGTGACGCCACCACTTGCGGGTGGAGAGCTGCAAATTTTGTCCTATACTCAGCACTTACGGCCATTGAGCAGTGAGGGATCTTTTTCGTGCCAGCACCTACTGCGACACGGGACCTCGGTTTATACGGTCTCATCCGACGGACCGGTCTCCACGTCCCACAGTGGGATTTGAACCCGCAACGTAAGGATCAACTCCTTACTCCGCGACTCTAGAGCAGACGCTCTAACCACTGCGCCACGCGGGCGACTCATAGGTTTTGAGCTTCGTGGATAATAAGAATGATTCTCTTTAAAAAATTGCTTTCATTTGGTGTAATAAAAATATTGTAAAAAAGATATCTTTCAATAATATATTTCTTTTATAGTTTGTCAATAGTAAAAAAAAGTTTGGCAAGGGTAATTACTTCTACTTATGTTTTTTCACACATGTTCATAGTTATACTTCTAATCGAAAATTTCCCTGATACTAGTATTCAGAATTAAAATAGATTTATAAAATAATACTTTAAATCTAAAATAATGATTATTTCATAAATTCAAGCCGTTTTTAGCATCTTTATTAAGGTTGTTTACTGAAATGTTCCATATTTACATTTTGACATATATGCTTACGTTTTAATTAATGTCTGACATCTTTAAAAAAAAAAAAAAGTAGCCTATGTATTTTATAATATCAAACCAAAGTTAAAAATAAAGTTTTTTTTCTACTTTGAAAAAAGGTTTTGGATTTTCCTTTATTAAATATACTAGATATTTTTTCTACATATTTATGGAGAATGAATTCTAAAATTAGAAGAACATTTCGTTTTAAATTATATATATTGATATCTTCTATATATTGGATATCATCTTCCACTTTTTTAAAATTCTTTCTTTGGACCCCCCCCCCCTTTTTTTTTTAAATTGCTGGATTCGTCTAAAAAATGGTGAATCTTGCCTTGGAACAACCTATCAACCCGAATTACTTATCACGCACATGTACATGTATTCAGTTTATTTCTAGTTGACAGATTATTTAAGAATTTTTATGAAATAATATTTATTCTGAAATGACCATAAATGAACATGAAATTTCAAAAATGGATAACAATTATTGAAATAAAAATCAAAATATTAATCACTTTTCTCAATGATAACTAAAACATGTACATCAGATTGCAATGCTGTGAGGAATTTTAATTTCAATGGAGATGGGTTCACAGTAGTTCATTCATTGATGGAATCATAGGAGTTCATTCATTGATTCATTGTCTATTATTCCCTTTAGGTGTTTAGTGATACCTTTAGAGTTAAAGAAAAAAGTTTACAGAAATTAAAAAATAAATGTAACATATTCACCACAATATAAATATTAAAAGTTATAATATCAAAGAATATGAGATTAGTGTTTTAAAATGTTACTGTGTATATTAATTAAAATGTCTCCAAGCCCGATGCTTATTCAGTTAGTATTACATGAGGTACCTAAACACAGTTTTGTATAAAATCCAGGGGTTTTCCCCGAGAGAGGAATAATGTTGAGGGATTTGCCTGCTATTTATAGGAGGTCTACATATAATAGGCCTAAAAACTGGAGGGCTATATCTCGGAAACTAGATTGATTGATTGATTGTATGTTGTTTAACGTCCCTCTCGAGAATTTTTCACTCATATGGAGACGCCACCACTTGCCGGTGGAGAGCTGCAAATTTTGTCCTATACTCGGCACTAACGGCCATTGAGCAGTGAGGGATCTTTTTCGTGTCAGCACCTACTGCGACACGGGACCTCATTTTATACGGTCTCATCCGACGGACCGATTCGAACCCGCGACGTAAGGATCAACTCCTTACTTCGCGACTCTAGCGCAGACGCTCTAACCACTGCGCCACGCGGGCGACCGGAAACTAGAGAAGGTGCCATCACCATTTTTTCACAGAAGTGGTAACGGGACAGGGACTTCGATGTCCCCGAGCCCGATGTTTATTCATATAGTATTATATAGTAGGCCTAAAAACTAGAGTGCTATATCTCGGAAACTAGAGACGGTACCATCACCATTTTTTCACAGAAGTGGTAACCGACCACAAGTACCCTACCCTCAAAATTTCAGACCGGGGACAGGGGACTTCGATGTCTCCGAGCCCAATGTGTATTCATATAGTATTATATAGTAGGCCTGAGGTCTATATCTCGGAAACTAGAGATGGTACCATCACCATTTTTTCACAAAAAGTGGTAACTGACCACTTGTACCCTTCCCTCAAATTTTCCGACCCGGGACAGGGGACTTCGATGTCTCCGAGCCCGATGTGTATTCATATAGTGTTATATAGTAGGCCTGAGGGCTATATCTCGGAAACTAGAGATGGTACCTTCACCATTTTTTCACAAAAAGTGGTAACTGACCACTTGTACCCTTCCCTCAAACTTTCAGACCCGGGACAGGGGACTTTTATGTCCCCGAGCCCGATGTTTATTCATAAAGTATTATATAGTAGGCCTAAAAACTGGAGGGCTATATCTCGGAAACTGGAGAGGGTACCATCACCATTTTTCACGGAAGTGGTAACTGCCACTAGTACCCTACCCTCAAAATTTCAGACCCCGGGACAGGGGACTACGATGTCTCCGAGCCCGATGTTTATTCATATAGTATTATATAGTAGGCCTAAAAACTGGAGGGCTATATCTCGGAAACTAGAGAGGGTACCATCACCATTTTTTCACAGAAGTGGTAACAGACCCCGGGACAGGGGACTTCGATGTCCCCGAGCCCGATGTTTATTCGTATAGTATTATATAGTAAGCCTAAAAACTGGAGGGCTATATCTCGGAAACTAGAGAGGTACCATCACCATTTTTTCACAGAAGTGGTAACCGACCACTAGTACCCTACCCTCAAAATTTCAGACCCCGGGACAGGGGACTTCGATGTCTCCGAGCCCGATGTTTATTCATTAAGTATTATATAGTAGGCCTAAAAACTGGAGGGCTATATCTCGGAAACTAGAGAGGGTACCATCACCATTTTTTCATAGAAGTGGTAACTGACCACTAGTACCCTACCCTCAAAATTTCAGACCCTATGACTTATGTTAAAATTTTGAATTGCGAACTGCGTTCTAGAATGCAGTTCACTTTTGAATTGCGAACTGCGTTCCAAAATCTGATTGCCTATTTTGTCCCGTCTTCAGACAAACCAGAGGACATCAAGGGTGTCGTCGGTATGCTACTTTCGTTTTAGAGCGTTGTCGTTAATGTCAACATGGTCCAGGACGAATTCTTATGAAGTCTACATGTATTTACGATATTCATTGACTCAAACAATATTCATAGAGTTTTTATAAGTTTGTTTTATTGAATGTTTTGACAAATTTAGTTAAACTTTATCGATGTTCATCTCGATTACGTTTCATTTCCACATCGCGACATACAGGTAAAGTATTCCTACGCTGTAAACAGAAATAACGGATTGTATGGAAGCTTCAAAGAGAAATGATTTTAAAACTTCGTAATTGGAATTATAAGAATCAAACGTTCTTATTCAGAATTTATCGATGTGTAATCTCATACCTTTGTACACACAAACTTTACATAAAAGTGCTTCGCACTTTTTTCAGTTTGTGAGTACAAAGGCATGAGTTTACACATCGATAAATTTTGAAAAAAGAACATTTAACATGTTTAATCCTATAATAAAATGCATAAGAAATATTTCTTAAGATGATAGGGGTTGACTGTTTCCTTCAAAATAAGAGCGTGTAAATTTGGGCAACGCTGTTATGTCAAATATTACATGGAACTCTCTTAGCCTTAGAAAGACACACGTGTTAGTCAATACCAGCACATCCTGGTGAATATCCCGTCTCTGATCCAAAACCCTCTGGACATTCTACTTTGTCTCCTATCAAAAAAGGTAAAATAGAACTAGACTGGTTGCCAATTGTTGCTTTTTGATATGCACATTTTTTTCGTGATAATAGCCTTCCTGGCGTTAGAACTATTAGCAATTTGCGTAACCCATGCGTATTGCTTAAAATGTTGTTTCTAGAAATAGATAAGTTATTATTTGGCACACAATACTGGAAAGATCTTTCACAGATAATAAATTTAATGAGTTCAAGCAAATATTTTTTTTAAAAGCTTAAACCAGGAAGTTAATTCTGTTTTCAATCTGGATGTAGGCAAAACAGTTTGATGTACTATCTAGATGTATAAAGAAACATACCTATGCAATAAGCGGAGCTGGCCATATTTGATTTCACGAGATAATAAACTCTATATTCCCCACAGTTTCGGACTTTAATGTCTAGTTTAGAAGAACACGATGCCATAAAGTCTCTAACACATGCCGTTCTGTTCACCGTCCCATCTGCAACGCTTGGAATTGTACCTTAAACGTTTTTTTTTCTTTTTTATTTATTTCATCTGCACTAATTTTGTTCACTGAGGCACAAATAAAATAATGACTTAAACAATTCACATTTCGGCAATTTTTAAATTGTAGTTTTTTTTGTATCTCAAAAAATTGACGGCATTTAAATATGAACGGAAAGAAAATTACCTCTCGTTAAAGTGTGTGTACATGTATGTGTGTACCTTGTAACCAAATCGGAAACATCGCTCCACAGGCGGTGAGCGGTGGTGCTGTGATAGGCATGTCATTCCCGGCAGCACTTTCAAATCTGTACCATCCATCTGCCATGAAGTTGTCAGAGATTGAAGTGTCCTCAGGAGTTAGGAAAACACCAACTGATCTTCTGATATCATTTTTCTTCAATATGTAGCTGGAACATTCATCTGGCATGAGGAGTAGATTATCAGTTCGTGATTTTTTTTATAGATAATTATGATAAAAAGGAACAAAGAAAATTCTAATAAAAGTTTACAAACGCGTATTTTCTGAAGGTTTAAGTTCAATTTTAACACATTGCAACTGATTGCTTTTGGCTTTTTTCCTTTGAAGAAGCATTAAATAGTACTGACTCTTATATATACTTCTGAACAAATTGCAAGACTGTTGGCAAGTAAATTAAAGTTTTATGAAAACTAGTTTAACCAGTTATGGACCAGCTTTGGTGGGTTTTATGACAAAGATAATTACGTCTCCATGTGCTCTTAAATACTGACACTAATAAATAATTCAGTTCACATGTACCTGAAGCACATTTGCAGCTTTGTTCTGCAGCGAGTTAAATAATAAAGGGGGTGATTGTGTACCGAGTATTTATTAAAAATGCACACACACAACCCAAAAAACCCCCCAGATTTTTCAGAATGCAGCAGTAGGTAGATTATTTTCGGAGCCAAAAAATATATTATTTTGATAAGGATGAAGCTAATAGCCGTAACTAGAGAGCGCTGAGACATAAAACCTGAAAAAAACCTCAAGACCCATGAATACATACAACATTAGTAATAAACAAAAATATCACAATGTTGTAGGCATTTAGATCAGATAAATTCATTTACACACATAAATACACTAACGATTTCTGTTTCTAAGTTCAACTTTCTCAAAATTGCGAAGTTGAATGGCCAGATAAAAAATAGTCGTACGTAAACGGATTTAACGTGAAATAACACTGATCATTTTATGATTGAATAATTTCTATCACTCTGATTGTCTGAGATCAAACAATGTAGGAAAAAGCACTACGTTATCTTCACCTGCACGTGACCTTCCAGTTGAATTTAAGGATTAATTTTCTCTAAATTGGTCTAAAAATAGTAATTCAAATTGATACAAATAGTTTTGGAAAACTATTTCACTTGCTTCAACTCTGGTGAACATGACATTAGGGAATATATAATTTGCGCGGTGGGGGGGGGGGGGGGGGGTGGGGGGGGAGGGTTGGGGTGGGGGTGGTTGGAAATAGTTTTGGAAAACTATTTCACTTGCTTCCACTCTGGTGAACATAACATTAGGGAATATATAATTTGGGGGGATGGTTGGAGGGTGTGCAGGGGACCCCCAACGCTTTTTTTTCTTAACGTAAATTTTTACTTTAAATTTAGACTTAAAATATTCATTGAAAGGCTGCCCCCCCCCCCCACCAATGGACCTTAATTTCCCACCCCTAATCCCATCCCAAAACAAAATTTGAATTTAAGAGAATTCTCTTTTCATAGGGGCTAATCAAATTTTTTTCAGCTGTCAATTTTCCCTATTAATGCCCCCCCCCCCTCGAAATTGATCCTAGAACAGGACATTTCTTTCTTTTTTATAGCAACTTAAGTAGATTTTAAAAAATCAAATTAATAAGACTGGTAATGTTTATTTAACCCTGCTTCTCTCATTGCATTTTGGGTAGGACTTCAGCAAGTGTAAACAAGTAAGATTGCTTGATCTGCTGAATGAGTTTCATTGTATCATTAAATCATTGAACCATACAATAAAACAATTATTGCTGTTCTTTGGTCAATACGATGATTTAACCACCTTTTAAGTACGATATTGGACTCGGTGAATATTGCACTCCTCAGGTGGCTTAATCATCGTATTGACCTAAAAATAGCAGTAAATGTATAATATTTGTTCGGGTAGATACACAATCCCTTTATTTAAAACTTATGATTTGGGGGATTTTAATACCGCAAATATATGATTTTTGATAAAGAAATATTTTAAATTAAAATTGCATGACTGTATATTTCAGTATTGAACAAATTGTAAACGCTAGAAGACCAAGGAGTGAAAAAAATCCGAGATGATTATAATTGAGGTTTGGAGGGGGATTTCTGTCCCCAAAGCACTCCTGCAATATATATATATATATATATATATATATATATATATATATATATATATATATATATATATATATATATATATATATATATATACGAAGGGTTATCAAGTTCGTTGACTTGTGCCGTAAAGATAAAACCGCTCGAGGTACATCAATGAATTTTTACACAATTAGTTAACATCATCTTTTCTATCTCTAGCATAAACTATAAATTGTAAGTTTTATTTTTAAATATATTGTAGATGTTTTTGTAAGCAATGGTATAAGCAGGCGGCGCAACCTCAAAATACGACGTATTTTCTACCTGAGTCTAACGCAGAAAAATTCTTTAAAAATTTGATATGAGCATTTATCATTCAATAAGCACGTAAATCCGCTCCTGTGTTATGGCACAATTGTTCCGTAAATTTTTCATTTTTACCCCATCTTTTAAGTTTTATGAAATCGTATTGTACATTTTATATGGAGTGCCCAAACAATTAAGGGAAAAGCAATGGCACCAGAAAGCGGGAGGGCTGTCTTTTTCCAAAATTCTATAAATTTTTCATCCCTGGAAAAGCTGGCAAAGATCTATGAAATGTTTAAACGGGCTACAGAAAATAAAATCTTGAGTACCTGATTTAAAAAGATTCAGGGAGAGGAAAGACGCACACTTAATGTTTATTTATAGTTCTTGCCCAAAATCAGTCACGACGAAAAGTGACGTTGCTAATATGCGGTAGAAATTGAACTCCAACGAGAAAAGTATGCTCGCATAATCAAATGAGGATCCTTCCCTACGTTTAGATCCATTTGCAATATTATGCATTGAAATCAGTTTTTCATGACATTATAATGTCATATAAAGAAGACGGGTTTCAGTATTTACTTAACTCCAGGGAACCTCATCAAGAAAAGTGTATAGAGGCAGAGGGAGCAGACATACAGAAACGATGACGTTGTCAGACATCATGAAAATCAAGTCGACAGCGCCGAGTGATCATATATAATATTTAGCACCGTATGTTCATTGTACATGGATAATTTATGTAAGGAAATGTAGAATATTGTACCTAAGACATTTGTATTTTATATTTAAGTACTCATTTTAATCATCTATAGTAAAAAAAAAAAAAGAAGAGAATAAACCACTTGTCGACCATTAATTTTAAAATTGTTTACAAAAAGTTTTGTTTTTTAAAATAATGCTGCAGTGAACTCAACATTATACTCTTCATATTGTACCAATATATTATCATTAAATACATGTATAAGGGTCATTTTAATATTCTTTATTGCGCAAGTAATGAACAGCAAAATAACAAAAAAAAAAACCTTCAATATCCATTAAAAGATTATTCTGTGATATTGTTGACATCGTAAAGATTTTATTCATCATAATATTCTTCGAAATCAAAAATCAAATTTATTTTTGATATCAATGCAACATAATTTTTCCTTATTTTGAAAGAAGACATTATGACAATGTATATTAAGAAAAAACTGTACTATTTTTTTTTTATTTTTGTTATCTATATTAATAAACTTACTTGATTTTGCTACGTGAAAAGAGAAAAGATAAAACAAAACGAGGCTCCATTGGATCAGTCTGAGGCATCGGTATTTAAACTCCATTATTTGAAATGCATATTTCCGAAAGCTTCGCCTCCTCTGAACTAACTAATTTAAAAACTTATTTAATGCTTTAAAACTTGGTGGTGACCTTGGTTTATTTATAAAGTTAAATCACAAAGGGTACATCCCTTCTGCGAAATGCATAAAATGACTAGTGCCCGTATTCACAGGTAAGCTAGGTTTATTAAGTAAGAAAGAAGCAATCAGAGGGTAAATGCAAGAACAACTTAAATCTTCACAGAAGGCTTTCATTCTATCACAGAAAATTATTAGGAGCATCCTCCTATTTGAATATGTACAATGTGTTCATATAATTACTATAATCTTCATTGAAATTAAATGAAAAAAGCCTACTTCACGTGCTGAATAGTGAAGTTTTCTAAGATTGCAAAAAAAAAAAAAAAACACACAATTCCTGGCCAGATTCAGGAATCTTAGTTTGGGGGCGAGGGTATACCCATTCAAAAAACATCTTTCAATTTTCTATTTTTTTCCCAAAAATAAAAAGGCAAATTTATTTAAAAAACACTAATACTTATTTCGTCACTTTCATGTTACATGTATATGCATGGCTTCTTATCAGTTTATGGCCAGTTAGGGGTGGGGGAATGGCAATGAACATAAATGTAACACACTTCGGCATATTCATTATAAGTTTAACAGAATTTATATAGAAGTGGAAGATCGTCAAATAAATGAATCTAATCTGTCAGGGATAATTCTGGGTCGTCTTTTATCTTTTTCCAATAAAATTCAGCTTCATCATCTAATCTATCCAGTCATCCAGTGTTAGAAGAACATAAAATCGACATTTAAACCTACCCTTGACCAGGTTTAGGCTTAGCTTAATTTGTGATCTAAGCTCACTTCTGAGAAACAGGTGTTGTAGAAAAATGACCCTGTAGAATAATGGCCCTTTGTCATTTTTTGACGCAAAAAACTGGTTTTTGGTAGGAATATTCTTGTTAGGCAAAGGCATAGGAAGTAACTATACTGAAACGCAAAAGAAACGCAACATCCTTATTTTAAGGGGAAAATTATATACAGGTTTTACTTTGTACTTAAAAAGTTAGGACATCTTCAACTCATGAGCCTGATGAGTCGTTATGTAGTGCATATTTTCATCTGCAACTCTCCTTTACCTTTTTTTTTTTTAAAAGAATTTCCAGCAAGATCTGTGAAAATGCGTGCTTTCAGTCATTTTGAGGAAATATTGGCATCACATTGGGAAAAGAAAGGATATTTTCGGAATATTAGTGCAGTACTTATGATTAACAGCTACAAACCCTTGAAAACCCAAATTATTATCAAATGTTTTATTAAACATGCAATTTTTGATTTCTGTTAAAAGGGCTCAAAATCAACTTCCGGTAATGGAATGAAAATCAAATGGCAAAGTTGAAGATGTCCTAACTTTTTAAGTACAAAGTTTATAATTTTC